TGGTAGCTCTCTTGCACTTCGTTGACCAGTCAGTGCCCAAGCTGTTGAGAGAAAAGTGGAATAAAGTATTCCCTTCGCTGTATGCATTAAATGCAGTCCCAGAAGGAGAGACTGTAACCCCTGAAGTTTGAGCCTCTGACCACCACTTCGTAGCCCTGCAGCCCGCGGGCTCAGGAGCACCCAGGCTGGGACGGTTGTGCCGAAGGACCTCCAGGCGGTCAGCTCTCCCCCCGGCCTTCCCCTGCTTTGCCCCTGCCAGGGTTAGAATCGTTTCTTTGCCACCCCGCCAGCTCCCATCTTCCCTGCAACATGGTAGTTGGCTACAGTCCACTCAGGCGGGTGTTTTGCCTGCACCAACCGAAAACCTGGGTGCCGTCATTAGTCTCCCTGTTGTGCTCGTTTTCGTCTCAGCAGTGCACCTGTTTCATCGGCTCTCCCTCAGGAACATAGCCTGAGTCTGTGCTGTCTCCACCTCTCCTGCCCTCGCCCAGGTCCAGGCCACCCCCATCTCTGTCCCCAGTTGTTGCACTGTCGTTCTGCTCAGTCTCCCTGCTTCTACCAACCCCCCAAATCTATTTTTCACCCCCAAACTCCCAGAATAACTTTTTTACATCCAGTCCTGTCTCTGCCCTGCTTTGATGAAAAGCCTTCGGTTAGTTTGCTGACCCTGCCTGATTTGGCCTGTGCCCCTGTCTTCCACCCTGTCGCTTGTTCCCTTCACAGTCCCCTGGCCCCCTGTCCAGAGCCTCCTTGCCTGTTGTTCCCTCTGCTTTTGCCGTGGCTCAATCCTCCTCATCCTCTGGGCCTCTGCTTAACTTGTCCATCCACAAGGTCCTTTCTCAGCCTCCTCATCTGAACGAGGTCTGCCCTCTTCCGCCCCTGCACACTGCCTCTTCCTTTGCGAGCACTTAACCACATTTTATAATGATCTAGTCATTTACCTGCCATCTCCAAAAGACTGTAAGCTTTGGGAGGGACCACCATCCGTCCTTGTTTTCTCTCCTCATTGTCTCCTCAGCACTTAGTGTGTTACCTAATGCATATGGACCGTCCATAAATCTTTGGGTGGGTGTGTGGACACAGGAATTATTCATGTAGAGATCGGCATGAATATGAATGAGATCGTACTAAATGCTATGAAGAAGATAACGCAAGGAAAAGGAAATAGAAAGGAACATTGAATGACAGAAAAAATACGTGGATAAAGAATAAAGTAAATCAGTCAGGTTTGGCCTGAGTGTTTAGAGCATGGAGGGCTTAGTTTCACAGGGAGGAGGGACTGTGTATTCCAAGAGGAGAAAAACAAAGAGGGAAGACGCTGAAGGAAGAGTAAGTGTAGTGGGCAGACCGGTTGCGCTAACCAGACAATACAACGTAATGAACAAGGACTCTGGAATCAGCAGACCCGAGATTTGGGCCTTTTTTGCCACCTACTTTATCTGAGACCTTGGGAAAGTTACGTCAGCTCCCTGAGCTTTTGTTTCCACCTTCATAGAATGAGCTTTAGGTGACAATTCGGTGAGGTGACATGTCAAAGTCCTGGCTTATGACAGATGCTGCGTTAATACCGGTTCTTTGTCTTCCTTTCTCATCATAGGAGAAAGTAAGATAAAGCTGTGGGATGTCAAGATTGGATGAGTAACATAAGGCTGGTTAAGCATGAGCCTTCAGTGCCAGTCTGAGAAATTGGCATTTGATCAGTAACGTACAAGGGAACAACTTGAGGAAAGTGATAGAATGAACGTGTGCTTCAGGAAAATCAGTCTTAATCACATTTAAAGGAAAACTGGTGCAGAAACCACTGGAGGCAGAAGGATTTAATAGGGAATAGTTGAGAGAATGTTACCTTGGCTAGAGGGAAGAAGGGCTGAGGTGGATAAGGGAGCAGATGAGCTGGAATATGGGAGTGGGATAAGAAAAGAATTATGAAGGCTTGGGATTATTGCTGTGAAAATGTGCAAAGTGCCTGGTCAAAGATGCGGAAGGACAGGGCATCAGGATTTGGTAGGTCCAGCCAAGGCTGGAGGCGCCATCTGTGTTGTGGTCTCAGCCTCCATAACTGGGTGGTTTCTTGGGTCAGATCAACAGCTCAGACACAGGAAGGGAGAAGGTGGTAGTTGGAACCCCTCAACCAGAGGGCTCCAGTAGAGAGAGAAGGTCAAGGAGTAGGGAAGGTTGAAAAGATAGTTGAGGTAAAGTCAAAGCAGAATAAAGTAGTGACACCAGGGGTGCCTGGGTGGCTCAGTTGGTGAAGTGTCCGACTATTGATTTTGACTCTGGTCATGATCTCAGGGTCCTGGGATCAAGCCCCTTGTGGACCTCCCCACTCAGTGCGGAGTCAGCTTGAGATTCTTTCTCCCTCTCCCTCTGCCCCTCCCCCCACTTTCATGTGCCTATTGTCTCTCTAAATAAATAAATAAATAAATAAATAAATAAATAAATAAAACCTTAAAAAAAAAAATGAATGCCAGAGGATTGCTGAGGGACCAGGGCAAAATCAGGGAAAGAGAAAGGAAGGAGACAGAAGGTGTTCAGGACATTGGTAATTGTAATTCACCTTCAAAGTGAGACCCATAAGAACTCTGCTTCCAGGAGTTGATTTTTCCTGTTCATTATGTAATATCCCAAACTAGGACTATGTGGAGTGGTAACATCAGATCATGTGCACGGCAGTATCCTTAAAGGTCTTTGAGGGTAGGGTAAGACACGTACTCTGGGAGTGAGCCACTTCTGCTTTATAGAGTTTGCCTGTTTTGATTTGTATTTTTTGTTGGTTTGCAGTCCTCGGTGGCTTAGAGACACAGTACAGCTGTTGTGAAGGTGTCCTTGGATCTGCCGGGTGTCAGGTTGCCAAGGTAGGGCTTGTCATCCAGACCACTGTTCCTGTCGGGACCAGAGGTGTTGCCTCCAGAGACCAAGAAGCATTTGAAAGAATTCATTAGCTAATTTTTAATTGAGGAAATTTTTATGAGTGTAATTGCCCCTGCAGGAATAAACAGTAATTTATTTGGCAACGTTTATTTCAGCTTCACGTTCATGACCAGAAAGAAAACATAGAGGGCTTCGTGAAGACTTTCGTCAAGTGCCCACGCGCCGATGGTAATCCTGGTGTATTTGCTGTGAATTGTGAGGTGGTATGTCATTGTTTTCTCTTCCACCCTTCTTGGAGTAATTACAAGCGAATTATTGTGGTGCACTCTCCATTGTATGACAGCACTTCACTGGGCTTTATCCCCATCCCACAAAGCTCTGCAGTATAGTTCACATACTTTCAGAAGCAACTGAAGCTGAAGAGAGGTGACTTGGAGGAATTCCCATACCTAGTAAGGGATAGAGCCAGGAATTGGTCCATGGTCCTCTTTTTATTTGTTAATTTTTTTTTATATATTACCAATGGTGGTTCTACTCCTCAAATTGCTGAATTTATATGGGTGGAAAATGTTATAAATAGTACCGTTACCCCCGAATCAACATAAAAACTTGAATAAATTTTTCAGAAACTCTTGTTTATAGAGACAGTAAAATATTTTTAGGGATTTTTCTTCATATGAGAATCAATATGAAAAAGCAGGGAACAAAGAGAACTTGGAATCCTATGACCTGGGAAGCCCCACCCCTTACCCGCTGTCACCCCCCGAGCAAGTCTCCTGGATGCTCTAATCTGTAAAGTATGGGGTTAATAATCACTCCATGGTTACTGTGAGAATCAGATATACTAAAATAGGGGAAAGTACATTGGACATGTCAAACATCATGTGAACGGTTGTCTCTGCCGAAACCTAAAATTTTTATTCCCTACGGTATATTTGGAGAGCAGATTAGTAGAATTTAATAATAAGTGGAGAAGGGCATTGTTTGAAGCTTAGGTCTTTAACTGGAAACAAGGCTGCTTCAGACTTTGAAATCAAGTATCCTTTCCATGTTGTCCTCTACAATGCCATGTTTATGTATTGTAAAGATTTTCTTTTGTAATTCAACAAAATCTATAACCGCATAATCCAATAGGTAACACTCAGTTCCTCAGTCATGCTAGCCATATTTCATTTTTTTTTTTTGAGAGAGAGAGCATGTACACATGGAAGTGGGGGAGAGGCAGATGAAGAGAGGGAGGGAGAATCTCAAGCAGGCTCCATGCCCAGTGCAGAGCCCAATGCAGGGCTCAGTCTCACAACCCTGAGATCATGACCTGAGCCAAAATCAAGAGGCAGATGCTTAACTGACTGAGCCACCCAGGCGCCCCTCATACTAGTGGCTAGTGGCTGCCATACTAGACAGCATAGAAATAAAACATTTTGTCATCATGGAATGTTCTACTGGATAGCACTAATGTCTAATAAAAATAATTGTGAAGACTAAGCCAAGAAAATGGAATGATCTTATTAGCAGAAATACTACTAACATTTAAAACAAAATTAAAGCTTGGAACATCTTTTACAAGACTGTCAGATCCACTGACTGGCTTTTGTCAGCAAATCCAAATAATATGATTAAATTGTATATTCTAGTTAGAAATATTCCTTTAGGATATCTAAGATGTTAAAATGTTTACTCAATATGCTATGTAAGTTTAATATGTTCCCTCCCCCCCCCTTTATAGTGCTATACAGCCAAAGGTTTGGAACTTACTCAAGTGACCGTGGTTGATCCCAGCCTCCAGGTGGTCTATGATACATTTGTGAAACCGGATGAAGAAGTCATTGACTATAACACCAGGTATATAAAAGGGTTGGCTTTTGAGAATGTAGAATATTCAACATGTAGTTTAGGTGAGTTTTAGCTTAGTACTTTTATTGAGTCAATGTTACACCATGAGTTATACTATTTTCCTTTAGCTCATTCATTTGTTCAAAAACATTCATATTTTATTGAGTACCTTGCTAAAATTATGCAGACAGACACTGTGTTAGACCCCAGGTTACAACCCTAAATAAGAGACAAGGCTTCAGCCCTCATGGTGTTGACATGTTGGAGTGGTAGGTAGGAGGCTAGAGAGGTAAAAATATTGAATAAACTATTTTATTCATTGTTCCACCATTAATCAGTTCCTTTTGAAAATACGATATTAGCCATTTCCATTAGGTAAAAATACCCATTAGATAAAAATTTCTGCAATCTTGTAGACATGTCCCTGAGTATACATGGCTTTGATATGGCATGCAAAGTAATGGTGCAGTGCAGATTCTATTCGGTGAACCATTATTATTAAAATATGACATATTTCTCACCCAAACTCAGTGCTAACTTTGAAATGGTACAATATAGATGTGCCTTTAATTTTTAAAAACCTCGTATGAAACACCAGTGATATCACTGATCAATTGAATTTGGGTTTCCTAAAGGCTTATAAGCCATATAACATGACCTATTTATATACTTACTCAAATATAAAATGGCAAGGATCTAAATTTGTACTTTAGAATAAGAAGTGTTTATTATTGATGTTATTGTATTTATTGTTCAGTTTTCTTTAACACATTCTCCAAAAGTACTTAAAATTACTCATTTATATGTGTGTGTATATATATGTGATTTGTTTACACATATAAATATGGCTTGTATATACACATACACATATATAATATATATAATGTACATAGTATACATAATACAGTGTAGTATATATAATATCTTTTGTAATATTGTATATAAAGTATATGTATCATATATAGTGTGTGTATGACCATAATTTTGGAACACAATAAAACAAAGTGGTCATGTAAATTAAAAGTTGTTTTGATGATAAATATTGAGAATACTTATAGAGAATTCTAATAAGCATTTTTAAACCTAAATTCCCTCACAGTTCATAAAAATGGTTATATGCATAAAAATCAGTTAAAATTGCTATTATCAGAAAATACATTTTGTATACTAATCTTTCTTCTGACCTATTTGGATTTTTTTCCCTACTCATTTTTGCCACATTTGAATAGCCCTATTTTATTGGTTTTTTTTTTTTCCAGCTTTATTGGGGTATATTGACAAACAAAATTGTAACTAAACGTTACTGTACTTCTAGTGGTACTTATTCTTTCATGGTTTAATGGAATCTTTCCTAACTGCTTTTTTGGAAATAATTTGGTAATTATTGATATTCATAGTGACAAAATGATAACTGAAGGGCTTGCATTATAAATAATTTTGAGTCTCAAAAAAACTTCAAATGCATTCAGTGCATTGAATTTTTTAAAAATGTTTTAAAGTAAGCCCAAGTACTCCATGATAATTTCTTCTTAATCCAAAGAGTTGATTAACTATTTATCAAATTCCCTAAGCTTGATGATGGAGCCAGGTATCTTTTTTTTTTTTAACTATTCAAGTATAATTGGCATACATTGTCAGTTTCAGGTGTATAATATAATGATTTGTCATTTGCATGTGAAATCATCACAATAAGACTAGTTATCATCTGTCACCATACAAAGTTTAAAAACTTTTTTCTTGTGAGAACTTTTAAGATTTCCTTTTTTAAATAACTTTCAATTTTATAGTACAGTATTAATGATTAGAGGACTCTAATTGCTCTCATTGCTGTACGTTACATCCACTTGACTTATAAGTGGAAATTTGTACCTCTTGGTCTCCTTAACCCATTTTTTCTACCCCCAACTGCCTTCCCCTCTGGAAACCACCATTCTGATCTCTGTATCTGTGAGTTTTGTTTTGTTTGTTCATTTATTTTGTTTTTTAGATTCCACATATAAGTGAAATCATAAGGTGTTTGTCTTTCTCTGATTTATTTCACTTAGCCTAATACCCTTAAGGTTCATCCATGTTGTCACAAATGGCAAGATTTCTTTCTTAGAGCTAAGTGGTATTTCTTTGTAGATATTATGCTGCATCTTCTTATCCATTCATCCATCAATGAATACTTAGGTTATTTCCATATCGTGGCTATTGAAAGTAATGCTGCAATAAACACTGGAGTACATATTTCTTTTCAAATTAGTGCTTTCATCTTCTTCAGATAGATACTCAGAAGTATAATTGGTGGATCATATGGTAGTTCTGTTTTTAATTGTTTGAGGAAGCTCCATGTTTTGCATAGTATACGGCTATGTACCATATATACTGTATACTGGCAGTATGTTGGCTACACCAATTTATATTACCACCAACAGTGCACGAAGGTTCCCTTTGCTCCACATCCTTGCCAACACTTGTTATTTCTTATTTTGTTGACAGTAGCCATATAACAGGTGTGAGGTGGTATCTCATTGTGGTTTTGATTTGCATTTCCCTGATGATGAGTGATATCGAGCATCTTTTCATGTGTCTGTTGGCCATCTCTATATCTTTGCAAAAATGTCTATTCAGATCCTCTGCCCATTTTTTAATCCGATTGTTTGGGATTTTTTTGTTGAGTTGTAAGAGTTCTTTATATACTTTGGATATTAACCCCTCATTGGATAAATGATTTGCAAATACCTTCTCCCATTCCGTGGGTTATTTTGTTGATGGTTGCAGAAGCTTTTTAGTTTAAGGTAGTCCCATTTGTTTATTTTTGCTTTTGTTGCCATTGCCTTTGGAGTCAGATCCAAAAAAAAAAAAAAAGATTAAAATCAATGTCGAGGAGTGTTTTGCCTGTTCTAGGAGTTTTATGGTTTCTGGTCTTAAGAGTCAAGTCTTTAAGTCTTTTTTAGTTAATTTTTGAGTATGGTATAAGATAGTAGTCCACTTTTATTCTTTTGCATGTGGCTGTCCAGTTTTCCCAACACCACTTACTGAAGAGACTATCCTTTCTCCATTGTGTATTCACTCTTTCTTTGTCCTAGATTAATTGACCATATATGCATGGGTTTATTTCTGGACTTTCTATTCTGTTCCATTGATCTCTGCGTTTGTCTTTATGCCAGTACCATACTGTTTTGACTACTATAGCTTTGTAATATTGTTTGAAATCAGGAAGTGTGATGCCTCCAACTTTGTTGTTCTTTTTCAAGATTGCTTTAGCTATTCAGGATCTCTTGTGGTTCCATACAAAATTTACAGTTGCTTGTTCTGTTTATGTGAAAAATGCCATTGGAATTTTGATACGGATTGCATTGGATGTGTACACTTCTTTGGGTGATATGGTAATATTAATAGTGTTCTTCCGATCCATGAGCATGGAATATCTTTGAATTTACTGATGTCCCCTTCAATTTCTTTCATCAGTGTCTTAATTTTCAGTGTACAGGTCTTTTACCTCCTTGATTAAACTTATTCCTAGGTATTTTATTCTTTTTGATGCTTGTAAATGGTATTTTCTTAATTTTTTTAATGAAATTTCATTATTAGTGTATAAAAATGCAGTAGACTTTTGTATATTGATTTTTTTGGACCCTGCAAATTTACTGAACTCATTTATTCTAACAGTTTTTTGGTGGAGTCTTTGGATTGTCTATATATAAAATCATGTCATCTGCAAACAGTTTGAAACTTCTTCCTTTCCAATTTGGATGCCTTTTATTTCTTTTTCCTGCCTCGTTGCTCTAGCTAATACTTCTTATACTATGTTAAATAAAAGTGGAGTCATGTATGTTTTGTTTACAGGAGACAATAATATCAATATGTACTTTAAGTTAAAAATACTTTGCCAGTATTTTTATGTCTTGCTTTTCTCCTAAATTGCAGTAAAGCAGAGAAGTAGCCATGTTTCTGGACAGTTACTTAGAATGTGCTTCAGTGGAGTCCACTAGTGTAGTTTTCTGCATGTATTTCACTTGTTCTCATAACATTAAGATAGGTAATTAACTCTACAGATAAAACTGAGACCAGAAGGTTAAGTAACGTTCTGAAAGTCAAATATAGTAAGTGTGAAGAAGATGTAGTGGAATATTATTCAGCCATAAAAAGAATGAAATCTTGCCATTTGCAACAACATGGATAGAGCTAGAGAGTATTATGCTAAGAAAAATAAGTCAGAGAAAGGCAAATACCCTATGATTTCACTCATAGATGGAATTTAAGAAACAAAACAAATGAGCAAAGAAAAAAAAAGAAACCAATAAACAGACTCTTAACTATAGAGAACAAACTGATGGTTACCAGACGGAATGGGGGGATGGGGAAATAGGTGAAGGGGAGTAGGAGTACACTTACCATGATGAGCACTGAGTAATGTATAGAATTGTTGAATCACTATATTGTCCACCTGAAACTAATATAATACTGTATGTTAACTATCCTGGAGTTAAAATTAAAAATTTAATAAATAAATAAAACAGTAAAAAACACCCCACAAATATAGTAAGTAAGTAGTAGAGTCATAGCAGAGTTCGAACTTAGGTTATCTGGATTCTGCCTAGGGTTCTTCCATGGTACCCATATTTCATATTTAGGCTTTATATTTTTTATTATTTGAGCCTAGTAGACACACAATGTTACATTAGTCTCTGGTATAAAACATTGTGATTCAACATCTATTATTCTATGCTCATGAGTGTAGCTACCATCTGTCACCATACAACACTATTAAAATTTTATTGACTATACTCCCCATGCTGTACCTTTTATTCCCATAACTTATTTACTCCGTAATGAAAAGCATGTATCTCCCACTCCCCTCTGCCCATTTTGACCATCCTCCCATCCCCCTTCCCTCTGGCAACCATTAGTTCTCTATATTTATAGGTCTCGTTCTGCTTTTTGCTTATTTGTTTTTTAGATTCCACATATGAGTGAAAGCTCAGTCTGACTTACTTAGCATAATACCCTTTAGGTCCATCCATGTTGTCATAAATGGTAAGATCTCATTCTTTTTTAATGCTGCATAATACTCCTCTGTGTGTGCACCACATCTTTATCCATCAGTGGACACTTAGGTTGCTTCCACATCTTGGCTATTATAAGTAATGCTGCAATAAACATAGGGGTGCATATATCTTTTTAAATTTGTGTTTTTGTTTTCTCTGGGTAAATACCCAGTAGTGGAATTACTGGATCATATGGTAATTCTAGTTTTAATTTTTTGAGGAACTTCCATATTGTTTTCCATGGTGGCTGTTTTAGGCTTACTTTAATGGGAGATAAAGCTCAGATTATACAAAGAGAGTTCAGAGGAACTCTGTGAACTCCTCATGTCTCCCCCCTCCCAGGTTTACATTAATTAATCCACATTACATTTTACAAATATAAGCTAGTAAAGGATAGCTGATGGTCATAAGTAAGATCTTTGTTTTGTTCAGTGAGTGTTTGTCACACTGGGTCAGTGATGTGTTCTAACTCTAATTGATGAAATCCAGCGAGTTACCTTCTTGCATTGTGTGTCTTACTGGGGCAGGTTTCCCGGTGTAGTTGAAGATGACCTGAAGAACACTAAAACATCGATCCGTGATGTCCAAGCCATCCTGTTGAACCTGTTCAGTGCTGACACTGTACTAATTGGACATAGCTTTGAACATAGTCTCTATGCTCTTAAGGTAAAGAATTACAGCCTTGTACTTTCACAGAACAGTATATGTTAAGATGGTAGTCCTTATTATTGCATTATCACTGATTGTTGATTTGCCCTGTTAACTAAGAAGAAAAGAATTGCTGTCCATGTTGATAATATAGTCCCACCATCATAAACCAGAAGTGGTATAAGGCAGCTAAAGTCATTGGTCTCGTCCAGATCAAAAAGAAAATCCATTAGTTAGGATAAAGCCAGAATCATTGTTTGACATTGTCTTTAATATTAGAATGGGTAAGACTAGGTTTATCTAACAGGTTATTTTATTCACCTACTTGGAGATACTTTTTCATATTAAATCAGGTAGGTCTTACAGGTAGGCTCAAAATCAAATGTCATGTTCATTTTTCTTGGCATGATAGACTTGAAAATCTGCCCCTTAATATACTTTAGGTTAAAATTATCTGTTCTTTGCTCTAGAACAGGAGTCAGAACACTGTGGCCAGTGCTGGCCACCTATTTTTGCAAATATTTTTGTTAGACCCACTGCCCCCATTCACTTCTGTATTTTCTGTGGCTGCTTTCATGCTACAACAGCATTTTTAAATAGTTACGACAGAGACTGTGTGGTCTGCAAGCCCAAAATATTTACAGCTTGGCATTTTTAAGAGTTTGGTGACCACCTCTGTTCTAGAACACTAGTATCCGATAGAACTTTCTATATTTTCACTATACACCATGGTAGACACTAGCCACATTTGTTATTGAACATTTACAATATGTCTAATGTGACTGAGAAAATGATTCTTTCATTTTTTATATTAAATTTAAACAGCCACATGCGGCTGGTGGCTTACCACTTGGACAGCACAGCTCTCGAACTTTGGAGACATTTGCTAATTCTTTGTTTTAGCCACCCCGAGGACTTACCTTCATGCAGAGAAGGGCTAGTTCTTCTTTGGTGCAAGAATACAAATAAGGCCATTTAAATTTCATAGGTGAATGTCAGCCCTGTTCTCTGTAAAGCACCTGGTATTCAAAGTATAGATTTGTTTCCAATAGCAGTGTTGTGTTTGCCTGTGACAGATAAGTCTGACATGTGCTTCTACCCAGACCTACCAAACTGTGTGAAAAGAGAGGTGGGGACAGACCTAAGTTTTCTTTGAGAAAGTTCTTCCAGGGATGTCCTTCTGTTGCCTCAGAGACCTCACGTCTCAAACTGAACTTCTCACCATGACTTTCTCTCCTTTTTCAGGAACCATTTTATTCCACCTGTGTCCTAGACCAGAAAATCCTAAACCATCACGATTCTTCATTGTAATCAGTCTGTTTCTTCTGTCCAGACAACTCTTGGATTTTCCTATTCTTCTCTATTTCTACCACTGTCTTCTTTGATTTATTCAGTACCCCACAGCCAGGAACTGGTGTCTGGTTGGTAGTTGACACATTAAAGGAGAATTTAAAGTGCTTCTAAACATGGCATACTGGTGCTAAATGTTAACTTTCCAACTCCTCATTTTTCAATGAGACTTTAAATTATTCCTGAAGCTAATCTTCTTCCATGCTCCTTTCAAAATACAGCTCCCCTCCTCAAGAATCCAAACTGGTACCTAACTTTCTAGGCTCTCAGTTATCTGACTGCTCTTCTTTTTATCTATCTTAATTTCTGCTGTATGAAACTTCAGTGGAAGTTTATGCATCATCTTTCATGTATAAGCACAGGAAATTTGGACATAGACGCGACAGGGTCCTTGTCTATGACCCCTCCCCAGACACTGACAAGTAAACCACTCATATGTGGTAGGACATGTGCTAAGTTGAGGTGTGCCCCCCTCAGCGGAGTCCCAAGGTGGGAATGTGACTCTGCATCTACCCCGAGTCTTGGTTGGAACCTGTCTGCACATGCTGCCCCCTGGTGGTGCTCACAGGAGGAAAGTGGATCCACAAATCAGACCACTTAGATTCGATTTCCAGGTACTCTCCTAACTCCGTTCTTCATCTCTCAGAGCTGCAGTTCCCTTGGCTGCAAAAAGGGCCAATATCATAAAAGGGACAATAAAATATCTACCTCATTAGGTTAGTCTGCAAGTTGTAATGATTAATCCATGTGGAGGGCTTAATGACTGATAGTCTTAGCTGCCTCACATTCCTTGCCCATGGAGCATATTCTCCCTCTACAATGATTGTTGCTGTGATCAGTGTTGTTATTCTTTGGGGAGAGCTTCTGAGAGGATTTTCTCTTTCATTTGACAACTAATTCATACTTCAGTTGTGGACACGACAGTTCTGTTTCCTCATCGGCTAGGCTTGCCTCACAAAAGATCCCTCAAGAGTCTAGTGGCTGACCACCTGCAGAGGATCATTCAGGACAATGGTAAGAGCCTGTTTGCTCCTGATTAATATCAGGATCCTAAGTCTGACTTGAGTAAACAAACCATGGGATTCATGGTAAAAGGTCTGCTCCCTGAAGTGCTTAAGGTGGGTTTTTCTGTATGGATTCTCTCCTAGGGTGGAGAACCCTAAAGCATCTTGTTATGTAAAAAGCACTAAAATGCCCACTGCCTGGTGTCATCGTGGATCTTCCATGGGCATCAGAATAACCATTACAGAGAATGGTGGCCAAATCTTTGTTCGGAAAGTTGCCTGGCCTTTGAGTTCATGTATAAAACTTCTGTGGGTGTGGAGATCTAATTCCAGTCTAAATTTAGCTGGGTACCCCTTTTCATACGAGCTTTTCATCAAATGAGATTCCAGAATTCACTGGGTGTGGGTCATCTCACCCAGAGTAAATTGTGTGTGTTGTGTTAGAAAAAGAATTGTTCACATTCAATAGATTCATCATATGTGCACTTGATTTATACTGGTGGTGTGTGTATCTTGCTCTCAGAACATGTTTTTTCTGATGAAATACACCCAACATTAAACAAGTTAATCAAGTAGAGCAAGGATAGCTACCAACTACCCCATAAGTGGCATTGCCCTGTGCACAGTTGAGCAGTGTCTGCCTTGGAATGGAGGTTAGTTACTCTCTACATTCATGCGTGCCCGTGTAGGCTCCTCTTTCACACAACATAGAAGTCTAAGAAAATTAATTCTGCGTATGTTAAAATTTATGTTACAATGCTGTGTTTCTAAGGATACCTAAGATATGGGAAGGCCCTCTGATCAAAATACCAAGTGTACCGTGTGGTCTTTATTCTTTCACTCTGTCTGTTAGACACTGCTGTTGTCTCAGTGGGTCTTCGTCTGTTTTGCTAAAAATACATCTCAAAAAATTCCTACAAAATTCTATTATAAAATGTAATGTGTTCTATTGAAAACTGTCTTGAACCTTAGACAGGAAAATATTTCACTTCACAAAAAACAGCTTATACAAACATCTAATACCCCATTTTTTTCCAGAATAACACAAATGAAAAATACCATACCATTTTAGATGTGTTGATCATGTGACTTTTCTCATTTAATCTCATACATCATTTATTATTCTCACTAGAACTGTAGGCTTTATATTTTGGGTAAATTTCATGCACTTGTATCTGAGGTCATTCTTGGTGTAGAGAGCTGTACTTTTTCTAGCGCTCTCTATTTTTGGCTTTTTGCCAGATCTTTTACTAATGCCTGCTGCTTTGTTGTTCTCTGTAAAAGAGGTATATGGGGAAGGTGACAATGTGAGGACAGGCTACATAGGAAGAGGGAGATGTTTGCTAATCTAGACTTATGTATAATCTTTACAAAGGAATCAATCATATTTTGGTAAGTGCTCAGTGTTAATTTTTTAGACACATGAACTTAAGGCTTCGTTCTGCGAACCGCTGTGGTATATCACGGATGAAGTCGTTGTAGGTCTAACACGTTGTTTTATATTCTGTACCGTTTGGAGGTCACAGTTCAAGTGAAAGTGCTGCCGCCTGCATGGAGCTGGTTCTCTGGAAGGTGAAAGAAGACCTAAAAGGGAAGAAGTAATCACTTTGCCTGAGCAGATCTGAAATCCCTGCAGTGTTGTTTCAGTGACATCTCTCCTGCTGACAGTAGAGTTGGGTCTATGATGGTAGGATGTTTCTTGACCTTTTTCTTCAAAGAGGAGAAAGAAAAGTGCTGTTGAGGTTTATTTATTACATGTTCAAGGTTAAGCTTCCACAGTTTATTTCAGAAGCTGTGTGTGGGGTGGGGGGCGGTTAGTTGGGAGGATTAAGTTGGTTTGAATTTTCGACTCTTCTTCATGGATCGCGTGTGACAGTGGATCGCGGTTTACAGTTGAACCAGTGGGCCCGTGTCCTCCATCAGGGTCATGTCTCCGGTGACGTACATTTCTTTTTCTCTCCAAATACCGAAAACCATCTTGACCCAACAGAATTTTTTTTAGGTCTCATATATAAATAGAATAGATTTTCCTCACAAAGTAAATGTAAACTTTTCAGCGTACTCTGTTAACATAAAGATTTTGGTCATTTGGCTATTGTGTAATGTGTTTTTATTCTAACTGGTGTACTGTGACTGAATTTTAATTCATAACAATTTTTTTTTTAAGGCAGTATCTGGATCTTCTAAACACAGTAACCTGCATTCCCAATACCTGAATTGTCTCATTCTTTTGAGGAGTTAGCGCCATCTTTCTTGCTTTCTCAAAATGTGGAAACTACATGACTTTATTCTGTTTGATTACCCTTAAGTAAGTATGACTCTTCAATATTACTGTTGCTGACATGCTACAAAATCACAAAGGTTTTATTGCCAATAGAACAAGTGAGTTGGTGTAATCAATAGGAGGGCCTCTGTGCCGGAAGTACCCCAGTCACCTTCTGACCGTTGCTTGTGTGGATGCCTTCCTATTGTGACTTACATCTTTTTCTTGCTGTCCCACGTACTTCTCAGCCAGGTCTCTTGTCATGTACTTGAGGTGAAGTAAAATAATTCAAATTTAGATCATTATGAATTTAAGTAATATATAATTAAGAAGGTCAGACTATTATAAGGAAAAAAAAAGTCTGTTCCAAAGTCATATGCAAAATTTGAAGGGATTATCGGCATTTTCAGGTCATCCTTGTTCAGTTCCATGTACTTTGAAACTAAGCGCGGTCCAGAGTATGTCTACAACACATGGTAAAAAGCCAAAGGAGCTATGACAGGTATCTGGACCTGTGTTCAAGGGCTCTTCACTGAGTTTCCAGCTGTTGATTCAGGGTATGCTAGCAGCCTTGCTTGTGCTGTCTCTACCTGAACACGCTGTTGTGAACAAAGGGCCCTGCTATCGCTTCTGAATACGTGAGGTGGATTAAGGGGCAGGAATAGGGAACTTTATGCTGTATGTTGACCGATTTCACACTGTCCCATTTAAGAGAGATTCCAGTTCCAAGCCCTCAGTTGACACTGGAACACTACTGGAGGCACAGAAAGTGGACTAGACAGAACACTTCTCGATGTTTCCAGTCCTGCGAGCTGGAACTAGCATGTCTGGTGGAGTACCACACCCACTGCGCTACGGGCATCTTACTGACGGAGCTGGAGGACGGTAACTTGAAAGACATCTGGCAAGACCTAGGAGAAACATTCCCAGACGAAAAACAGGTAGGCAAGACATTTATTCACTTACTGTACGATCTCAGGGCAATGTGTGCCTACGGTATAAACTGTAAACTCACAACTGATCAGCATGGAAACTGTACAATGTGTAGTATGTGAAGGGATGTCCTGTCGGTACAAATGTCACATGTCTCCCAAATAGAATCCCAGGGTTCCTGCTCGATTTCTTAAAATACACAAATCAATATCACCAGAGAAACTAAAACTAAATCCCATTAATTTATCAAACTTGTACTTCTCTAAAGATCCTTAGACTCCTACGGAAAGAGAGTTAAGTCCCCTTCTAGATGGATTGACTCGTGGGCTCTGGAAACACATGACGGAGGTGTCCAATGACCAAGTGAAATTGAAATGGCTTCTACAGGTCGGGGAGAAAGTTTAGAGATGGATAGAAGAATCCCTTTCAGATGTTCACCTATGTCCTGATAATCTAACGTATTTCCCCCACTTTCCTCACTGGTGCTGTCAGGGTGGGTGTGAGGTTTATTAACATCTTTGTTCTATACAGCAAAACATTTTATAGCATTCACTATGAAGGTAAATATCAAAAACATCCAGGGTGATAATGAGTTAGGCATCATAGTAATTGTACTCGCACACCTTCCTGTAAAGTCCATATTTTTAGAAAAATATATTATTGCATATGAAACCATAAACAGGCATTCTGAGTTCAGCACATTCTTACTCAAAACAGTATATACAGTCCTAGTAGAGTCAAAGTGTCCTATAGATTCACACACAGGGGTTTCTGTGGTCACGTCCCAGACATACAGCAATATATATACATTTTTATATTCCGTGTCACCTCTCTTGGCAGAGTCTTGCTGGCTTTCTTGGCATCAAGGGTCTGACATGCCTGGGAAGGGGCAACATTACGTACAGATGGATGTGGGCTGTTCTAGGCTGCTTCTTCAGCAGAGCAGTCGATCCCGGCGTAGGCAAACTTCTCATAAAGTGTAGTATTCACGTAGGTCTGCGAGAGCAAGAGCGGTTCAGAGGGGCAGGAATAGTCAGACCCTAACTTGCTTAACTTGTTTCGATTCAAATACTAGGTACCTGGGGGACGTTTTTCTGTCCTCAGTCCCCATGTTGTATTTGACAGCTTTCTTCCTGAAATGCATCCCTTGCCTTCTACACCTAAGACTTCATCCTCTTACTCTTCTCAGTCTGGGCCATTCTTTCTTCTCTCTCTGTGGTCCCTCCGGAAATGTCCCAGTCTCTCACGATCATTTCTCAGTCCCCATTTTCCTCTATGTGATCTCACCCACGTCTCCGGTTTAATTACCCCTTGAGTGGTGACTTTCCATCTATTTCCCTAACCTAAATTTGTCTTTTCAACCTCAGATCTGTATAGCCAACTACCTGCTAGACCTTTTTAAGGAATTCCTGACCCTCCCCCTAGGAGCCTCCAGCCCAGGCTATACAGTCTATCAATCAGCTGTGTGTCCTTGGACACATCACTCTCACCTCTTTGTGTAGATTTCTTCTGTAAAATTCGAGAGTCAGGCTCGATTACTGAGGAGGGTCCTTCTAGCTCAGAGGCTAATTCTATCTGTTGTACCGTGTGTGACTCTCTCTTTTATAGAAATCTTATTAACTCGGACATTGTAACATCCTCAAAGTTGGGGGCCATGTCTTTTATGACCCTCTCTTGCCTCGGGCTATGCCCAGAACAGCTTGTTGAATTGTATCAGCTTTTTTTTTTTTTTTAACCATACAGGGTGCATGACAAATCGTGACTCAAGAGCCTGCCTGGAACTCCATGCTCACCTTGCGTTCTTCTAACATCCTGTTCAAGGACACCAGGATCTGGGCAAACGAGGGCCTCTCGTAAGGCTTCTCCCGCCAGCACTGTCTCATGAGGTCATACCTTTGAAAACAAAGAGTTAAGCAGTGAACTCTGTGACTCGGCTTCAGTCCTGGGCATGGCCCGGTGTGGGGTATGGAAACGAGAGAAGGGAGTGTAGCCAATTCACACATGGGCATCTGTGCTTAACCAACAGCACAAAAGTAGAGCACCGAGTTTCTCTCTGGCCTCCCCCCCGGGCCCCCCACCCACACATCCCCCTTTCTTCTGTCAGTAAAACTAGTGCGTATCCTCAGTACCATTCCTGTGGGATCTTGGTCTCAGCTCTTCTGATGATCTGGAAAGAGCTGACTCGTGTCTAGGGCAGCATCTCCCTTGGAATACTCCATCTCTCAAAATGTAATTTGTTTTTTTTTTAAAAAGGGTTCCATGCTCTAATAAATTTGCAAGATCCACCTATTGCATCTCCCTCTTAGGGATTAGCAGAGTAAAAGCTTGAGAAGTCTTGCCATTACAAACAAAAAACCTGTGTGACCTGACTTAACCTGGAACAAGTGACCACAGAGCTCCTTCTGCCTTGTATCATCTATTTGCATCTTGCATGTACCAGGAACATAGTGGGGGAAGCACTGGTCTAAGGCAGTACTCCCCCAAATGTGGTCAGAACCACTTGCATTAAAATGCATATTCCTGGGACCCACCCTAGACCTATAGAAGCAGGGTCCAGGGGTAGGGCTCAAAATTTCACATTGGGAACCTTATGTGCCCCAAAGGTTACCAACGTAGCAGGGTCTAGGTTCCTGCCTCTTGTACCAGTGACCTAATTAATATCACACTTTCTTAGAAGTGGCTCCGTGTGGACAATAGAGCCTTGCTCTTTCATATCATGCCCATCAGGCAGCAGCGACTTGCAGGTAGTTTTGGGAACGGTGGTTTCACATCATCCTTCCCTGGGGAATAATTCTTAGTCCTGGAGAATTATCCTTGCAGAATCAAGATTCTGTGATTTAAAAAAGATCCATCTTCCTCATGTCACAGCTCTGAAATCTCTATCCCCAAAGTGAGCCTCAAGGTTTCATACATTTATTCATGAATTTCAGATCTTTTCTCCATTTGTTGCCTTTCCTCATGTCCACCTTCCTGATCTCATCACCTTCAATTCCTGCTGGATTTCTACGCAGATAAAGCTCTTAACTCCCTGCCCATTTGGGAGGGCGATGTGTGTGTGAATGAGATAACCCCTTCACTAGAGCCTGTCTGTCCCAGGAACACGAGGGGAAGGTCAAGATGAAACGGCCCTAGGGTGTGGCCTGGCTTACACCTCGTCATCACAGTTGAGGGGCTTCTCCAGTCGGTAGCCCTGGGGCAGCTTCTCGTACAGTTCTGCACATGTCATCCCGCAGTAGGGGGTGCCACCTGGAAGACAGACAACCACGTTGCCCTAAGCCCCTGCTAGTGTGGAAAGCAGTGTCACCTGCCCCGAGCCTCTCAAGCCGAGAGACTGGGAGAAAGGGTATGTCAAGGGAGGGTGCCCACCCAGCGTGATCTTCCTGTCTGAGCAAACCCACTGCACAGCCCCGCTGCACGTAGGCCTCCAACCACACCGCAGGGTGGCCATCCGCTCAGTGGAAAGATCCAGCACGGGGCTCCTTACTCACAGCGCTATTTCTCTTCCCCAAAGTCAGCCTGCCCAGCTCATCTAGTGTACCAGTGAGATGTTATCTTTTCCTACTTGGGAGTCTGCAGTTATGTTATCCACTTCCTTTTTGATCTATAATAGTTACTGCTCAATTTTAATTATAAAACATGCTTACTATAGAAAACTTGGAAAATACAAAAAAGTTAAGAAAGCAAGCAATAGTTTGTATTACTCTCTGTGTACTCCTTCCAGGTTTTTCATGGGTAATAGTTATAAAACTGGGATCCCAGCGTAAGGAAATTTCTGGATTTTGACATGCATGTTTCCACATGCTATTAAATGGCCTTCAGAAATGACTTTTCATGGCTGTGTAACATACCATCTTCAAGTTGTACAGGCAAACTTGCAATAGTTCTATGACATCCCTGCTCAGAGACAACCTCTAATGAATCTCCCAGCTACCAGGTTGTTAGTATGAAGCATGACATTAGATACAGGGCTCTCAAAAAAGAAACATGGGAACACACACACACAGACACAGAAACCTATCAAGTTCTATGTCCCAGTCCCACCTGTGCCACATCAAAACATAAAAATGGCACCTATGGAATGACACAGTGAGGGAGCACGGGAGGGGCCCAGTCCCATTGCCTGAAGTCTCACCTGGTAGATAAACATGGATACTCACCTAAACTAACGATCTCCCACAGTAGCACTCCGTAGGACCATCTGCAGGGGACACGACAGGGAAACCAGTAATCAAACAAGTTGACCAGTTAGTTTTCTGCCTCAAAAGTCAGGGTGATGGACGCTTTGCCAGAAAAGGAAATGTCAAACGTGGGCGCTCCCTAAGACAGGGCCCTGGCGTGGCATGTGTTTACCTCCTCTTGGGCCGATGGAAGGATTCTACCAGGGAAACCGCGTTAGAGCCCCCACTCGCTTTAGGCGGAGAACATGGGACGGTGCTGGGGACAGCAGGTGCAAGTCTAAGCTGAGAGATTGGGGTTAAAACCCAGCTCTGCCACCCTGGTACTCGTGTGACCTGGGACAAGTTACTGAACCTCTTGAGGCCTCTCAGTGTGTTCTGAAAGTGGGAACACCAACTGCTGCCTCTAAGCTCTGCAGAGAGGATGTGAGAGAACATACAAAAGGCACGTTGCATGCAGCGAGGATACGAGTACTCGCCAGCCGTCTGCCCTTCCCCAGGCAGAAGCTAAACTCCCTGGACAAGTCACCTCAACCCTCGAGGCCTCCGTTTTCTCCCGTCAATAAAGGTGTGAGCCACATGGCCTAGGTCTCACTCCCAACCCTCCCGTCCACCGGCAGCCTGACACTTGTCCCTGCAGGCTGAGAGCAGAGACGTGCTCTTGCTCTGGCCTGCCTTCTGTCCTTGCCACCTCAGACCCCCAGCAGCTAGTCTGGGCTGCCTCCACGCTCTGGGTCCTGTACGTTGAGGTCGGTCTGGGACTCGGAGCCACAGGAAGCCCCATATGCCCCTTGCCTCTCTACAGACTGAGAATTCACCACTTCTCCTTGACCGGCAGAAGGAAACCCACGGCCTGCTACCAATGGCCTTACACGATGAAAACGGTCTACTCTGAGGCTTCCTTTTGTAGACTATGAATTTATTTCCTGGGCTTACTGATGAGCTTTATTCCACAGAGGGACATCATAGTCCTGCTTCTCTTTAAGAACTCTGTCAAATGCTTATTTTCCTGGGGGGAAAAAATCCCTCAAAATAAAAGGCTTACTCACACGTCACTGTTGGTTGTATACACACTGTAATTCAGTGACTCGATTGCCATCCAGCGCACCGGGAGCCTTCCCTGGAGAGAGCAAAGTGAGAGAGCACTTAGGCAAGACAGGGACACTGCCCGGGGTGCGCAGCTTGCCTGGAGCTCTGCTTCACCCAGGCCCACGGGGAACTCCACTTGCAATTCCCCAGACACAAGGTATGGCGGACTCAGGGACTGCTGTTTCTGTACGTGCCACGCACAAGAGTGTTCTCAAATCCAAAGACATGCAAAGAGGATAAGCCCTGCTTGCTTCAAGGAGTCCCTGTGGCAGTTTTATATAAAGAAAAATAACAAGTGTAATTAGTGTGGGTATGTGTGCGTGTGGGTGGCTGTGGGCCTTCTTGGTAGGCATCCCATTTATTCACTTTGTGCCTCTCAGAGGCCCTCAGAGGTTTGAAAGGGGAGGGAGGCAGAGAAACCAAGAATTAAACTGTAATGTGGGAGAGGCTCTGGTGACCAACTGTGGCTGGAGGAGATGGGGAAGGCTTTCAGACAAGGGGACCTCGGAGCTAGGTCCTGTAAGATGTGTAGGTGTCATCAGGTGACTCGGGGGGAGGAGAGCTCAGACCAAAGGGAACTGTGTGCGTACACATCAGTGGAGGGGGAAATCGCTTCCCGTAGATACAGTTTACAATGGGTTTGGAGATGGCACGAGAGACACTCGCTCATCCTTTGGGGGCTTGGCCCTGACTCTGTCCAGGTTGTCCTCATTTCTTTAAGTCCAACCTGGGAAAAAGGAATGTGGACTGGACACTGGGAAGTTTGACTTCTATGTTTTAGTCCTAGTTTCACGGTGATTTGGGGCTCCCTCCCTAATGACCCACCCTAGGAATCACATGGGCCCTACTGAGAGATGGCTGCCTCCTTCCCAGGGATTTGTCCAAGCTCCAACAGTGGTGTTTCAGCCCACTTTAGCCAAGAGGTGGGGCAACATCAGGACTATGTGGGGGATCTTCTCAGCCCCCCTGAAACAGGAGCAGGCATTCTCCCAGGCCACCCATCCTGAGACCAGCCCTGTCCTGGACCCCAAAACTTCTCCTGAACGTGCCCTTGTCTCCTAGGTCTTTGTGAAGTAGTGATATTCTGAAGCTCTTTCTGATTTTAAGTCTGATTGGCACTTTACGGTTCAGTTATAAAACTATCTCTTCTCAAACCTACTTCTTCAGTGTGTCCTCAACATTCGCCTCCCTCCACTCCATGCCCACCCCTCCCAACTGCCCACCTGTTATCCTGGCTGCTGCTTCCCCTCCACAGGAATGCAGAGTCATTGACACTTTCTGTCTTGTCTTTGCTTTTATGTACCTGCTAGCTTCTGACCTCATCCCTCCCAATTACTAAGTTCCATGTTCGCTTTTTTATTTTTCTCATATGACATCTTTTGGATCTGTCCACTTCCACCTGTGCCCCTTGCTCTCTCACCGAAGTTCAGGCCACCATCGCCTCTTACCTGAGGATAACCTCTTAACTGATCTTCCTGCTTCAGAGTTTCACTCCCTAAGGATCAGTCCTCCTCACCATAGCCAGACTGATCACTCAAAATGGCAAATCCAGCCACATGGTTCCTTTTCTTAAAGTTCTTCAATGTTCCTTATTGTTCCAAGATCTCAAGTCCTTAACTGAATCCAAAATTTTTTAGCTGGAATTCAAGAATCTTCAAGAAGACCTTATAACCCCTGCCTCCTCCCACCTTGAATTTTAACTCTCCCTCTTCTCTGCATTACACTCCAGACACATTGAACTACTTGACCCCCAAATGTTTGCCTTTAGGTCTTTATATATACTGTACCCTCCAGGTACAATTCATTCCTGTATCTCCAATATCTATTTAACATTTGTAAAACCCAGGAGTTGGCCTCCTCCAGGGAGCCCTCATGACTGCCCACAGGCTCAGTTCAGTGTGCATTCCTCCTCTGTGCTCTCCTGGCCCTCAGCACTCACCAACTGTTGACAATTGTACATTGCGTGTCCGAGCTCTTTAAAAGTGGAGACTGTCTCAATTTCTGTTACCCCAAAACCTAGCACAAGAATGAAACACTCTAGTCATAAATAAATCGATGAGGGGCTGGATCTATCACGATAATAAAGCCCCAAATCACTTAGTACGTTAGTTTGCAAAACTTCCAATATTAGCATCACCTGGGGGCTTAAAAAACAAACAGAAACTGATGTAGGAGCCCCACCCCAAAATGACTGAATCATAGTATCTCGGCCTTAGGACTCAGCATCGGTACTTTTTGAAAGCTTCCCAGATGATTCTGAAGTGCAGAGAGTAAAAAATGGCTGGTTTAAACAGGAGGCCAGAGACGGTAGCCGCTCTGCCCTCTGGTGGTACCTGGCCACACTGCACCCTTCTTGCAGGGAGCTCGTTTCTCTCCATTCCCTCACCTTTCCTCTGCCTCGGCTGCCCCTTGGTCTTTCCTCCCAGACCCTCTGTGCTGCCACAGAACACTTCACCCAGCTGCTAGCAGACAGAATTAAGTTCTGACCCATCTAAGCGCTCTGCCCCTCTACGCATTTTCCCCAAACTCTCCAAGACTGCCGAAATCCCTGCCCTTTATGAAATGCCAAGCAAACTAGCATTTTCCCTGGGGATCTGAGGACAGCATCCAAATAAAATGTGTAGGTTGTGGGGCTAAACTGTGTCAGTGCCTCCACCCCGTCACCCAGAGCACCACAGCCCCCAAATGCCAGAGAGAAGGAAAGGGGCTCTGTGAAGGAGAGCGCAAGCCTCAGATGGCCCAGGAGAAACAGGGAGAGTGGGAGTAAATGGGTGAGTGGTGGGTCCTGCTTCTTTAAGACAAGCCCAGCCCCTCCTCAGAGAAACATTGCCCGCTTTGGGTCAAGCAAATTCAGAAAAGCTGATAAGAACAAGTGAAAAAAAGTATTGCGTGGAAGCCAGCCCTTGAGGAGGCGCCTACAGCATCTGAAAGCATTGACATTGATAAGTATCTAGGGTCCCACTGGATGTGTGTGATGGTCTCTAAGGGCCAAAGGGGCCCCACTTCAAACCCTTATCCAAAAAGGGACTGGAAAGATCCAAAATGGTTATGTTCACTGGCATAGTAAATATATAAAAATATGTATGTTTGTGGAAGGCAGTAAGTAAAGGAAAAATAAAATGTGTCAAGGGGGTGAACTATGGGGTCATTTGCTTTTCGAAACATTCTTGAATATTGTTTGTGTTATCTTGTCAGTAACTAAAATAAGTATATTGGGAAAAAAAACAACAAACCCTGAATAAGAGGATAAACAAAAGCCTGAGCCTGGCTGACGCACTTTGTTACCCACAAACATAAAGGATCATGTGAAAACTGCAGTAGTCCCAGGAAACCTGAGCCTGAGCAATGTCCGTCAGACCTAGGAAAGAGGGGCCATGCCACTGGGGTAGAGCGACCGAACACATACGACCACCACAGGAACTGTCAGCCCCAAGGCTCTGCACTTGCCCACCCACGCAGGGAAAGCAGAGGGCGGCGCCATGTTGTCAGCAGGGCTCTCAAGTCCCTGGGAGGGGCATTTCTGGGGCTTTATGATTTCCGCTGGGCCACAAAAGCAGAATGAGTCCAGCTTCCCTCCTACTGTAGTGACGTTATCCTGGGATCTTGTACTTGAAGATTAAATATCACTGTTTGGGAGAGGAGGTATCATCAGGCGAATGTGGATTTGATGTGGGCTTGGAGAGACAGTGGAAAACTTTTGGTGAAGAGAGAACTCTTCTGTGGGCTTTAGAAGTTACGAATTTCTCTCCAGGGCCTCCTTATGATTTAGGAACCTCATTAATTTATTTCCTTTGTATTTGGAAAGTTAAATGTCTTTTTTTTTTTTTTGCCCCTCCTATGCTTGCTGTGCATGAAGGGGGATTAAGGGAGCACCTCAGAGGTTTCTGGGTCTGACACTTAGGGGTCTGAACTGGATGCAGACCAGAGCCCCTGCACCATGAGGCTTGCATGTAGCATCCCTTGGCCACATGTGACGGTGGCTTTTCACTGGTAAATGTAGAGCCCTCAGTCATTTTAGGAATCAAAACTCTGAAAGGACGTTTGCTGGGCCCGGGCACTATCTCCTGGGGTAAAGAGCCAGGTGCCTAAGTCACCAAAGAACAGCAGTATTCCAAGAGAAGGGCCATTGGGAGAGGGAGGGGCCCTGGGAGGATGTTCTCAGGGTCTGCGCTCTGAACTTACCATCGTCTTTTTCACATATACTTCTTGACCTCGGGACAATCCAAAATCTGCTATTTTGGCTACATAGTTTTCACCAACTAAAATGTTCCTGGCAGCCAGATCCCTGTGGATAAACTGAAATTTTAAAAAACATCATGTATTTTCAGCACTTTTGCTTGTTCACTTCATTCTTCTGTCACAAAGCCACTGGGGCAAGAACTTTGGGAAATAGAGAAGAGAGGAATCCAAGTCCCTTAAAGTTCCTCTCCAGAATTTTCAGTGGATTCTGCCAAATGACCTGCCATGTCTTGGGAGAAGCATTTCAGGAAAAAAAAAAAAAAAAAGAAAGAAAGAAAGAAAAGAGAAAAAAAAAAAAGAAACCCAGATCACTAAATCTTCCTGTTGCCATGTAAGTCATCTGCTGTTATGCATCATTGGGACCCAGATGCAGCTAAGATGGGTTGAGGCACTTCACCAAATACATATGCTGAGATTCACTAAATACAGGGATTGTTAGTGTTCAGCCTTAACTTCTATATAAGTAGAACAGTAACAAAGAGATGAAAATTAGGGAGATACTAAGGGGAATTACTGGGGAGGAGGACTTGAAAAATGTGTAGATTTAACTCAACTCTGATTCTGGAGAGAATTTCAAAGGAAAAATGGCCACAGCAAGGTCCTCACAACAAACCTGTTTTTGGCTCAAGTAGTCCATACCCCGGGCCACGTCAGCTGCGAAATGGAGGAGCTGCTGGGAGGATAGCGTGGAGGCGGTGCTGTTGGCAATGGCGAAGGCCGGATCGGTCTCCAGCACTCGGCTCTTGCGTAGGAAGTCCAGGAGGTTTCCATGGGGGGCATATTCGATGGCCAAATACAGGTAGCCTTTGGGGAAAGGGAGAGACACCACCTTCTCAGTGGCCCTCAACAGCTGTGAAATTTCTGAGATGTCCAATGGTCCTGGGAACTGCTCATCACACTCGGTGTCTAAAAGCAACATGTCTAGCAGTACCAACCTTGGAAAGGCTGGTGACAGGAGAAAGAGAAGTTCCATGCTCCTGCCATGCTTAAAGGGCCCCATGCTTGAACCCAGGGTCTCCTCCTTCCCACTGCCCTCCCTCCCACCACCTGTGGACTAACATGGAGGCTTCCTGAATGCTTTCACCTACTCAGTAATAAGAGTGGAATGAAATCAACGTGTTTGCCTCCAGAAGATGTAGGACAGCTGGTCTCCATCACCTTTTATTTTTATTCAATATTGACTGAGAACTAATATGAGCTAGGCATGTTATTCCAGTCTCAGCTTTTCCTGAGGTTATTAAAAAAAAAAAAAAAAGATTCAGTATCCATGGCAGAAGGACCCACATCAGGTAACTTTCTCTCTCTTGCTTCTACTCCTCCCCGAAAACTCTCCTAAGTCACCGTATTGCTGATTAGCTTGCCGGTCAGCAGAGTCTAATGTCAGAGATTGCATTTTGCTTAGAGAAAACAGAAAGCACAAACTTTTAGAAAGACAAATAAAACAACGGGTTCCTCGAAAACATTATGGTCCATTGTCTTGGTTTTATTCCAAATTGTTTTTTTAATAAAGTTACTTTCTTTCATAAAAACATTGATCTCTAGAGTCAATGAAAAGTAGAGTGCTTTTATAGTCTTTTAAAGTTAAATTTTTTTGGTATGTCATTTTTTGAATTTAAAATGTCGAATGATTTTGAACTTCAATGACATTCTAAGACATTGAAATTCTGGCAAAAAAAAAAAAAACACCTAGCACTGTACTGTGTTGCACTGTAAGGCAAGATACATCTCAATGTTTTCTCACTTCCTTACTGAACTATAAATTTTAAGAGCCAACCAATTACATGCTAAGGTGATGACAGAGTAAAAATTTAAAAGATATATTTTTCTGTTGTTGGTGGTTACTTTTTTGTTGTTGTTAACTTTCATTTACTGCTGTCCCATGCTGATTACTCCTTTCAGGAAATAGCTCAAAAATAAATGTCATTACTTCATTATTTAACCTAAGGGACATGATCTGGCTTTCAGAATTACACCCTTATTGGATCACAGAATGATATATTGTTTGAAGCCCCAGTATTTTTAGTTTAATAAATTGAGGAAAAGGAAGTAGTCTCTTTTCTATTGTTGCTGTTTGTGCTGCAAAGTCAACAAGAGGCTGTCAGGTTTGTAAATAATTGCTGTGTGGAGCTTTTTTTGTGGGAGCGAACTTTTCCATGCGAAGTTAAGCGTAAGCATTGCTGCAGAACAATAAACCCAGGTAGCCTGGAGAAGTGAACTCATAGAAGTACTCAATAATATGTGAATCAATAATATAACTTGAACTTTAAGAGTATGTGTGACGGGCACCTGTGTGGCTCAGTCGGTTAAGCGACTGCCTTCGGCTCAGGTCATGATCCCGGGGTCCTGGGATCGAGTCCCACATCAGGCTCCCTGCTCAGCAGGGAGTCTGCTTCTCCCTCTGCCCCTCACCCTGTTCTCATGCTCTCTCTCTCAAAAAAAATAAAATCTTAAAAAAAAAAAAAAAAGTATGTGCGACATAGGATAGTTGTAAAGCTCCACTGTAATTGTACCAGTAATGGTTTTGGGAAAAAAGCTCAATCAGATATAAGCTTATTATTGTTCTTATTTTATCCTAATCATCACCAATGCTTCCACATCACAGTTGATTGTTGGCATTCATGGATTTAACATTCAGACTATCAGTGTCTTGAGTTTGGAGGGAAAAAGGTAAGCAATTAAAAAGAGCCAATGCACTTCTCTCTTCCTAATGCTGAAGGCTCCCCCAGTCTACCTAAGCAATAGTAGCTGAGGAAACCTCTGGATCAGCAAGGATGGGAGTGTGCAGCAACCATGGGTACCTTTGAGCAGTAATGATGAACCACATCAGAGGGCAAAAGATCCAACCTCGAGACCTACCTCGAAAAAAATGCCAAACCTCAGCACAATTTATAAATGGGACTAGACATTCAGATTGAAACTGCAACTTTAAAAAAAAAATAGGTGACATTCTTAAGATTATTATCTTTACTGATTTTAATATGGAATGTGCCTGTTTCAAAAAAAAAAAAATTCTGGCAGGAATGATAGGAAAAGAGCATCTTACCACGATGTTCACACGCTCCCAAGAGATTGATGATGTTTGGGTGGTGGCCAAGTTTACAGAGAACCTCCAGTTCCCCAGCGAAGTCCCTGTGGTCATCTTTAGAGGCGTATTCTGGGAAGAAAGTCAAGAGTTGTGATCCCTCTCTGTTAGGCCTCTTTAGAAACAACTGTCCTCTCCTGTTCCCTTCGGAGGACCTTCAGGGCACTGAGTCACTATCAGTTCTGGAAAACTGTACAGAAATCAGAGATTACTCTAGGAAGAGTACTTGGAACTGGTAACACTTTGGGCTGACGCTTCTTTGTTGTTGGGGGCTGTCCTGTGCACAGCAGGATGTATGGCAGCATCTCTGGCTTCTCCCGCTAGGTACCAGCAGCCCAACCAAAAATGGATCCAGACGCTGCTGAATGTCCCCCCAAGGGGCAAAACTATCCCTGGTTGAGAACCACTGCTTTAAACTTTTCCTTGTTTAAACTCTCAAATACCCTGTGAAATGACTTGATAAGAGTCTCTACCTATTCTAGCTAAAGCCGCTGTCCAGCAATAAATATGCTGAGCAAGAGAACCAAAGTTTCAGGGCAACAACACAAGGAATGCACACACCTTGCTTTCTTACAATAATTTTAACTTGCTTTTCCACAAACCAGTCCTGCTAAAATATAAACTCAAATCCAACAGCATTTTCATGGAAATGCTTGGTGGTCAGGAAACTGAATTGTGTTTGTTTCTGTTCTTTTCATCCTGTCTCTCCATTAGCACTTGGAGCAGAGGAAGAACCATCAGGTACCAACCAGGCTGAAGGGAAGGCTCTCTCTGGTTGATGCACAGACTGATCAGCCTTGATCAGTGACAGAGCACTCTTACTGTTTTTTTGAAAAATAACATTGCGTAGGAAAGGTGGGAGAGGGGGACAGTTGGGTGCTGGTGGCCCTGTGCATGCCTGAATGTGCTTGGAAATTATAAAATTTTTCATAAGGGTTACGGGTACCCATAAAACTAGCTAGTAGGCAATTCCAGCTCAGATACCCTGTTCATACCACAAGAAGCCCAAGGGTCAATGCCTTGGGAGCATTTTTAAAATGAAGTTATTTATAAGGAGGCTGTCCTCCTACTTCAGTAATTGTCCTCCTTTGAATGCATCACTCTCCCTATAGACAGTTTCTGCCCTGACGCCCCATTTAAGCTATTTCACCTCTTCACATGGGCATGAGACAATCAGGCTCAGGTCAGATTTTAAAAGCCCTGGTTTTACAAGATTCTATACCCTGTTTCCTCATACTATCCTTTCTGTTCCCCCAAATTCCTCGTGACTAACGTAGCAAAACAGGAAAGAGATTTATGGATATTAAGCAAAATTGTGTGTGTTCATGTGTGTGTGTGTGTGTTTGAAACATACTACTATCTCTAAACACAGACACTATTTTATTTGTTTTATTTTATTTCTTTTCTGTCAACGCTGCAATAAGCAGCAATGATTTAATTAGATTTAGGGTTAATTCCAACTTTAGGCTCAATATTGCCATCAGAAAGGAAAACCTATCAGCAACCTTACAGAGCCTGCATTGTGAAGCTAACCAACAACAGGGAGTTAATGAAATTCCCTGCTCTAACACATGACTTTCCAAGCCCTCATGCTAGACAAGCAACACTGCAGCTTCATAGTCAAGCCACGCGTAAACTGCTCCTTCACACAAAAGAGAACACAGCCAGGACCGCCAGTGAGCTAGTCACTCTGCTTTCTCAGATGATGTTTATTAGCCATTTTGGTAAGTGGGTAGGCACCAAGCAGTCCTGAGATGAACACAACTGGAAAAGATGTAGATCTTCTGATCTTGGATCAGCAGTTTTCAAACTTGAGCATACAGAAGAATCACAGAGCACGCTCGTTAAGAACACAGATTCTCGCGTGTCCCCCCAGAAATTCACATACACTGGACCCGACAAAGGGAGAGGCCAAGCAGATGCATTTCTAACAACATCTCTGGGAGATTTGATGCAGATAATCCATGAAGACAGTGGTTTGCAAAGTGTGGTCCCCAAACCCTCAGCATCAGCATCACCTGTGAGCTAATTAGAAATGCAAATCCTCTGGTCCTGCCCCAGACTTGCTGAATCAGAAACCAGGGTGGACCCCAACAATCTGTTTTTAACAAGCCTTCCAGGTGATTCTGATACACACTCAATTTTGAGAACCAAGTGCATCAAGAGAAACAACAGCGCTCCCCTAAAGTTAGAAGTGTGTGACAGAGAATCTATATTCTCACATCCCAATGAGTCAAGACATTGGCATTTAAACAACTCATGCCTTCATATGTATGTCCTGACCCTATCACTAGCTGACCTCAAAGGAACTATCACCTGCCATTGCACAGAACAGCTGTCTTTGACATCATGCCAATTTTTTGTTTAAATAATGTAAGGCCATAGCGGAAAGATTCAACAGGAAGTCAAGTTTTCTCCCCACCCTAGTGAAATGCTGACTTGATCTGGTCAAGCACTGACCTTTCATCCTCTTGATGGCAGCGTCCATCCGTAACCCATCCTTCTTGATGCGCGCCTTAAGAACCTGGCCAAAATTACCCTCCCCGATCACATCTTGAAATTTGATGTCATTCCAGTCAAGCACTGGATAAATTGTAGGATCCGGGTTGTTTTTGGCCTTCCTGTTCAGGGCCAGAGTTCCTGAGTTGAACTGCACAGCTGGTTCTTCCCTCTGGAGAAACAATATTTTCATGGTTTTGTGTCAGGATTTTTCATAATTCTAATGTGCCTAAATACTCCTGGCTTGTATCCCATACCAGGTAAAACAAGAAATTGTCTATCTAATTCCAGAATGCAGATGGAAATAGGTTTCAGCTAACAGGCTGTCTATAGGGCTACATGAGCTAATTCCAGGCCTCAGGTGGAAGGCATGCTACAATCGATTAACAATGTCTGCAGAATGCAAGCATAGGGGAATAACAGCAGGTATGCCACAGGATGGCACATCCCCAAGTTAGTCACGCTTGAGTTTCTACTGAGCTGTGGAATGAGCAGGTGTTCAGTTCTGATTTGGAAAAGAACTCAGAGATCCCGTCTGGGGCAGTAACAGGCCGTGCCTCACTAAGAGCTCTCCTTGCATTGTCTTGGCCTATTCTTGACTCTTACTCTGACTTATCCTGAACCTTAGAACCTCTCAAGCCCACTCTGCAGCAGACTCTGGCCCCAGGATGACAGAGGCTTATAGTCAAACCCAACATAGCATCACCTTTTCTCCTGAGTTTGAGAGGGTGCTGACATATCATGACAAAGCTACAGTGCACCTAGCCCCCTTGCTGGTCTTTCCTCTCCAGTGACAGCCTGAGTTGAGTCAGCTCTGGCATAGAGTCAGATAACAACACTCCCCTTGTCCTCCAAGGAGGGGAATCTCAGGGATTTGTGGACATGAAGCTGTACCTCCTCTGGAATGTGTAATTGTACTCAATGTTTTATACATGGAATTGATAAATTGGGTACAAATTTATCTTTCAGGCTATGGCATACCAAAGAACTCAAACAGGGTGTATATTGGTCAGGTATGATTTTGTAAACCTTGGTTACTAGTCAAAATTTCTAGATGAAAGAATGAGGCAGTGCCAGGTATGAACTATGACTGCCAATTGATGGGTACAAAGGAATGGAGAGACACACATGTACCTAAAATTCATATATATTACATATATAATATATATGAGGAATAATAAGACTGTGGGAGAAATTAGAAGTATAAAATAGGAACTAGAAATAGGAAATGTGGGGAAAACTTGTCTAGCACATCGTTACCCATCATACTGAGGTCTGGTTATGCTCATGTCCTTCCTTACCAACAGCATTCAATTCTTCATGTTGCAAGATTGGTCTCCCTGGTGACTCATCACTAGGATGACCATACATCTCATTTGGGCAGGGCAATAGTTCTGTTTTAGCCCTGGCTTCCTAAATAATTATTAAGAGCAACATTTCCACTCTCAAAATCATTCCAGTTTGGGGCCCCTGGGTGGCTCAGATGGTTAAGCCTCTGCCTTCGGCTCAGGTCGTGATCCCAGGGTCCTGGGATCGAGTCCCACATCTGGCTCCCTGCTCAGCGGGAAGCCTGCTTCTCCCTCTGCCTCCACACCTCCCCCTGCTCATGCTCTCTCTATCTCTCTGTCTCAAATGAAAAAAAACAAAAACCATTCCAGTTTGGACAACAAATTACATAGTCATGGTGTTTATCTCCCATTTCATAATGGAAGTCAAAGAGAAGAAGGGAAATATTTGTTTTACAAGTAAATTTCCTGGTCCACATCTTTTTTTTTTTTTTTTTTTAAGTCAGCTCTACATCCAGCGTGGAGCCCAATGCGGGGCTTGAACTCACGACCCTGAGATTAGGACCCGAGCTGAAATCAAGAGTCAATGCTCAACCAACTGAGCCACCCAGGCATCCTTCCCGGTCCACATTTTTAAAGCAAAGATTCTGCATACATGCAGACTTGTACTTATTAGCTAGTAGGAAGATGAGGCACTACCACGTTTTGGAAAGCTTGGGCCATTCTCCTTTGGACATTTGCCCTCTTCAGCTGCAACATGATCAGGAAGGCCAACAGCACTGTCAGGCAGGTCATTCCCGCGGAGCCAAGGATGGCTATAAGCAGCATCTTCCCACCTCCAAGGTCCACTGGTGCTGCACAGAACACAGGAGAAGCAGCAGGGTTAGTTTAGGAGAGATAAGCCAAGACCATCTATGGGTGACATCGAGGTACAATGGATATGTAATGGCGGCCCTGGCTCTGCCACCTAATTGCTACAGGACCTTGAGCTCCTCATTTATATGTTCTGAAACTCAATGGAGAGGATTGTTATAAGACCTAAAAAAAAAAAAAAAAAAAAAAGGAAAAATGCTAATTATTAGTTGTTACCATTTGTCCCACTTTTACTTCCAAGTAGAGGCCCAAGCAGCAGGGAGAATGACTAACTAGGTATAGGACTTTGGGAAAGTGGCTAAACCTCCCTGCACAATTTCCCCACCTAGAAAAGTTCTCAAGTTCTAAGATGCCAAGCTTAGAGTCTATAAGATTTTTTTTTCTTGTTTAAAAAGCTGATGGAGAAAACCTGAGAATACCATTGACAGAATGAAGGAAAGGAGGAGGGGAAGGAGGGAAAGACAGAAGAGGAAAACCATTAAATTTAGGGCTCCCGTCAAAATAAACTATTAAAGATTATGGTCTAATCCAATTCTTTCCCTAATTTAAACTCAAAACTAAATGCAATATATCTTTATGAAAAACAGTACTTAGAACATGACCCCATCTTCTTACAAGAATTCTTTTGTGATTATCTCTCTTTCCTTCCTTCTGTCTCTAAGCATGGGTACATAAAGATACATCTGGAACAGAATGGTGAGGATTTTGTTGTTTTGTTATGCCTTGTTTTTAATTTTTCTGTTTGTATTTTATGTATAGCTTGGATTTAGGGCCTGTATACATTTTACCAAAACACAAATAATTGTAAAAATAATGTATTTATTAAGGGTGTCAACTGGAAACTCCAACTCTCTATAATTGGCAGACTCATAACATTCCTTGGACATTTCAGAAATATTCCAAAGAATCAGTCCTGAAAATATGGCATGTTTCATTTTATTTCTTAAGCCCTAGGTAGCCCTCGAAAGCCAAGAAGTTTTTGCTACTATAAGATTTTCTGGAAAAATAAACTCTAGCCCAGATTATAAATCTGCAAAACTTTCCATCCAATGTCACACATTGCAGAGGGCTGGCAGGTGCCACTGCAGACAGACTTCAAAGGGAAGGTGCTCCAGGAGCTGCAGTCCCACCTATCCTGGTCCCTTGTTCACTTGACTACATTTGACTGGTATTATCAGTCACAAACACTGGGCATCGTGTCCTTGGCACGCTGAGGGACCTACATCTATCTCAAAAAGCTTACTCTCACCGGAGTGGGGGTTAGTGGTGGACATGGAGGCATCATAACTTGGATGCAAAAAGTAAAAAAACAAACAAATAAAAACAAAACAAAACAAAAAAACCCAGGAAAAACAAAAACAACAACTTAGAATTGCATGGTGTCATCTAAGCTAAAAGAGGAGTTCATTTGAGAAAGAATGGAGTTCATAGGCCTGCCTTCACTAAGCAGGTTCCACATTCTTTTTCCATGGAATCGAATTCACATTCCTCAGAGCTTCCATTGCTGGATGGGGAGTGCAAACTAAATGGGCTAATTTAGTCTAAGACTTAACAAAAAGAAAATGGATCAACACGGTATCCCTCTCAGGGGCATTTTCATTTTAAGAACCTATCTAGAGATGGTGAAGCCTATGTAGACAAATGAATTATGTCACATGACGTACACATGAGGTAAATATCTTAATTAAGATAGTGGGGCTTTTCCGATACTCTCCAGAAATAATCCTAGGTAAATACCTGTCCACTCTACCAACCTTGAGATTTAGAAAGGGTCATCAGTTCATGAGAAAAGGTTGGGTTGCTTGACCCTATGTTGTTCTCTGCAAAAATGTCCACCTGGTAAGCTGTTTCAGGCTCTAGGCCCTTGAGCTGATACTGGGTAATGGTGGCATTCTTGATCTTCACATCAATGTGCTGGTCTTCATTCTTGCCCTGAACCTTGTAACGGATGATAATAGAAGAAATAGAATAGCCATCCAAGATTGTCCAAGAGATCATGGCTGAGGAGTCTGTGATGTTAGAAATCTTGATATTTTCTGGTTGAGGAGGGAGAACTAGAAATTTAAAAAAAAATGCACTTAAGTTACACTACCATCTTAGATTATTATGCTTTTAAGGGATACTTACTGTCAGCTCATAAACCAAGAATGGCAAATAGGTGTTTTCTCAGGTTGTGATTCCAATCAATTGGAAGTGGACTCCATGCAGACTTGACAAAATGGCACAAGACAGGAAAATGACAACACATATATCATCACATATTTTCTCACCCTTGCATTAAATTAAGACATCAAATTCTGTTACAACCAGTAGAAATTGGGCAAAGTGTACCAACAAATTCATCAAAAAGCAGAAATCCCACTGCTCAAGAAAAGATACTCAACATTGCTAGTTATCAAGAAAATGAAAATTGAAATTAACAGTGGGGTACAATTTTTTACCTTTGAGATTATGAAAAATAAAAAGGTCTCCAACATCAAAGGATATAGATATAGGGAAAGGATATATGTACAGAGATTGATATAGGGAAAATGGTACTCTCGTATACTCCTGAACATCGTACACATTGAATGAGAAACATTGCCTATCAGTTCTACTTCTGGACATATTCCCTAGGAAAGCTCTCACACCTATGCACCTGGAGACATGCATAAGGATGGTCATTGCATTTTTGTTTGGGATAGTTAAAAAAAAAAAGGAAGGAAGGAAGTGGTACAGAAAGGAAACAACCTAAATGTCCACCTCAAAGGGAATATATAAATAAGATGATATAGTCATAACATAGAATATTATGCAGAAGTTAAAAAAGTATATGTCAGATCTAAACAATGAACATGGGTAAGATAGGAATCATAGTGTTTATTCCAAAAAGCAAGAATGGTATGTATGCATATGTGCACCTGTGAATGAATCTAACACACTGAGCCAATTCAACCTTGAATGGAAAGATACACAGCAAACTCATAACGCAGTTGTCTCTGGGGAGCCAGCCATAGAATGAGAGTAGGGATGACGGTCCAAGGGACTTGTGATCTGTATTGTGTTTTTACTTCCACAAATCAACAAAAGGGCTGAAAACAAATATGACAAAATATTAACAGTTGTTAATTCTGGGTAGTAGTAATGTGGGTGTTTGTTGTATCATTCTCTGCACTATTCTGTAATTTTTAAATTTCATAGAATTTTTAAAAAGTGATGAAGAATCCCTGAACGCTGATGTAGCAGGTGAGACTTCCACATGTCACTAATACAAGAGAGTGGCTGGAGGAACACGGAGCCGTTTTCTACACCTGGTATTGAGCAAGTGGAGATGCAGCTGCAGAAGAGAGCTGGAGACATCAGGTGTTGGCAAGGGACCCCATGATCCTAACCTAAGTGGTAGTCAGTGTGGCCAAGACATATTTTATCTTTCCAAGGACTCCAAAATACACAGACACAGTTCTAATGCAGTGAATCTAAACAGAACTCTTTGCTTAATGATGAAAAACTTTCAGTACTACCAAGAAACCCAAGAAGTTCCAACTAATTTTAAATGACCAATCTGAAATAGAGAAAAGCCTGAGTTGCAGAATATTTTGAAAGAAAAAAGGTTTTATTACTATCAAATATATTTTATAACCCTAAGAATTATCTACTATGAAGATTTTCAAGCAGAGTCATTTAGCTTTTAAGATTAGGAAAGACCTATCTAATTAGCCAGCATCTGGAGGGCTGAAGAAACAGGACAATCTTGAAAACTGTCCTATAACAAATTAAACATACCCCAGAAAACCTTATTCATGTTATTAATTTACTTAATAAATAACTGCATAAGGTAAATTTTAGCACAGTCCTGCCTTTCTTACATATTACAGGTTATTTAAACGGTTTGGTGTGTTGGGGTGGGGGCGCTAATTAGCTTCCATCCTTAACTGCCTTTTATGATGTCTAGCAGTCTTGACTTGATGGCAGCTAAGTCCAAGCAGCAGTAGTCAAATGTCGTTCAGGCAACGTGGGGCCATGTGAGTTACTTACTGTCGCTAAGGGTCCAAGCGATGAGATCTTCACTCCATTCCCCCTGGGCCTTGGTGTTGACTCTGGCTCGGACTATGTACTGCTCCCTGGGGTGTAAATTGTTAAGTAGCACTGAAGTCAGGTTGCCTGGCACTTTGATATTCTGCTGGTCACTATTCATTTGTACAGACCTTCTCTCCACTTCAACATAGAAATCATCTTCTGAGCTTGGAAATATTGGTTGCCAGGTCAAATTTAGAGTGGTTTGACTTTTTGGTAGGAGAATGAGACCTCTTGGAGGAGGGAGACCTGGGAGAAACCAGAAAGATCATGATTTTTTTTTTTTAAAGATGTTTTTATTTTTAAGTAAGCTCTATACCCACCACGGGGCTTCAACTCACAATTCCGAGGTCAAGAGTCACATGCTCTACCGACTGTACCAGCCAGGTGCCCCTAGATCATGATTTTTGCATCAGGTGAAGCACAACAGCCCCAAAGGGCCGCTTTACAGAAGAACCTTGGCTTCTAGAATAATAGACAACTTCACAGACCATCAAAGAAACACAAGCTAACAGCCATGTCATACTTTTTTTTCTATCAAAATTGCAAATATTTATTACAATTCTAATTGTAGTTTGAGTAACTATAATAGAGGAACTCCTTTAGAGAACAACTTGGGAGTATTTTTCAAGAGCCCTAGAAATGAACGTCTGCTTTGGCCCTGACCGCACCAGGGATTTATCCTGAAGAAATAATCCAGAGGAAGAGAAAAACCAAAGTGCATGAAGACATTCATTATGGCATTATTTAATAATAGCAAACAATCAGAAGAAATCTAAATGCTGAAAATAGGAAAGTGCTTTAATAAAGTATGATATAACCATCCAAAGGATTAAAATAGATCGTTGGGAGTAGTATGGGAGGCCAAAAAAAATATTTCTAATACATGAGAAAAAACTCTAGTTGCAATTTGGTAAAAGTCATGGCTATAATTGCTGAAGGGTAGGGAGGAAACTGATAAGACAGTGGATTTTCCAAGGTTGTGGGATAGGAGGGGTGGGTAACTAACTACCCAGTGTTTCGGTTACGATTCTGAGCAATATATTTTAACGCAATTTCAGGGTTACTTCCCCATAGCAAGAATTTCAAGCCCTGGAACGGCTGTGGTGGCAGGGCCTGGGCTCGCCCTGCTCTGATCACAGCAAGGTGCTGGCTATGACCACACCTGCCCTGGCCAAGAACCTGGGCTACCAGACAGGCACCTGAATGCAAACAACATGGGTTTTGAAATGAAAGAGATAGGAGCCTGCCTAGTTTTGCGGCCTTGGGAAAATTCATAAGCTCTCCAAGTTCACATGTAACACAAAATGGAAATACTTATCTTTCAGACTTAGGAGAAGCACATGGGATAATGGATATGAAAATAGAAGGAGTCAGGGACATAACCTACTTTCCCTCCTTCCTTCCTCCCTCCCTTCTCCCTTCCTGTCTTATCTTGCGTCAATGGGCACAGACGGACTCTGTATTTTCAGTTATAATAGTAAATTGACTTTTCACTTCCAGACATCAAGTATTTTCAAAACATAGAATAGGGATCCTCTAACTCATGCATTCTCAGTGGGGACAGGTTTGCCCCTAAAGGGGGCAAACACTGGTTCGTGGGATACGAGAACATTTTAGATATTACAATTGCTTATGTAGGGCCACAGTATATAAATATATCTATGGTATTAAAATTCATGGCAGGGGAGACATTAGGACAAAAGAGACATTTTGTCCTAAGGACACAGGTATCTAAAGGGGGCGGTAATTGAAGGAGGAGGAAGGTGGGGGCGGGAGAGAGAGGAAGAGGGAGAAAAGGTTGGAAAACTGCTCTTTTCGGTTAGAAGTGAGAGAAAGGGTCTGTTTCCATACACCAAGACGGTGACTCCCACCGGCCAGTTCTGACTGGTGTTACACAAGGGAGAACCAGCGATCAGGTCTCACAATTCACTTGGCATTATGCTAAAGCAATAATTATTCTCTGTAGCCTTTGTAAATAAAATCATTATTTTAACTATTTAATATTAATACATGTATTACTCTAAATAACTATTATTCTCTATAACCTTTACAAGTTGAAAGAGGTGATGGTAACTCCTTTCGCTTATCTCTGAAGTTTAAGTTCCAAAAGAAGCTGCCCAGAGGAGGCAGGCAAACTTAAAATGACAAAGCAGAACAGAGAGTTGATGTTTTGGAGCATATATGCAAACCTCCTAAGTCTAGGCCTGGTACAGAAGAGTCACTCGATAAATGGTCATTTCCCTTTTCCTTTCCTTCAGAAACATGACTTACCCTTCACCCCTCCCTACCTGCCCTCTTTCTGCCTCTGTTCAGAGTGTGATCTCTTCCCTCCGCTCCTGGCCTCCTGGTCTTCACCATTAAATCAACATACTTATAAATAGTGCAACTGCCAGATGAATTAAAAAACAAACATCAGCAAAATTCAAATGATGGGAAAAGAAGAACCTTCAAGAATTCCCTCCCCACCAGGGCACCTGGATGGCTTAGTTGTTAAGCATCTGCCTTCAGCTCAGGGTTCTGGGATCGAGCCCCACATCGAGCCCCACATCGGACTCTCTGTTCCACGGGAAGCCTGCTTCTCCCTCTCCCACTCCCCCTGCTTGTGTTCCCTCTCCCGCTGTCTCTCTGTCAAAATAAATAAAAATCTTAAAAAAAAAAAAAAAAGAATTCCCTCCCCACCTACCCTTGAGAACTACTTTGAAATATTCCAAGAGACTTCTAAATACATCCAGGCTGGAACATACTCTGAATACTGAAGACAGTATCGTGTGGGTCTGTGAAGTGTTTTATGATCTGTTCCATAAATACTTTCCATCTGAGTCAGATTATGACCTTCGCCTTGGATTCATCAACACTGGCCAGAGAGAGAATTAACTACCATTTGCCTTTTAGCAGCAACCTGACCACAGAGCAGAGGCCCCCTTGATCTCTTCGTCTTCTAACTTATATAGAGTTTCTGGTGTTATTTTTTGTACTTGCTACCTGGCGAGGTCCTGGGAAACCATCCCTTATTTGCACACTGCTTCTCCAAGGACCAGAGTAGCTCTTGAGTTCCATTTGGTTCTTAAAGAATGCTGCTGGTGAGATGGAAATTTGGGGGTGGGGGGGATCGAAGGGGGCAGTCTCTGTTAGGGATGCAACACCCCTGCAGGAGAGCACACTCATTCTGGATCCTTCTGCCTTTACGAAGTAGACTAAAAACAGAAAAATTTACCAATTGGGATAAAGAAATGGTATCTTTGGGCTCCTAGGTAAAATAATAATAATAATTAATAATAATAATAATAATTGGAGAAATAAAAGGATGTGAAGTCTGAAGATCAATTTATGAACCATTCTGAGACGCTACTTGTCAATCTATAAAATGGGGAAGATAATTCTTACCCTTTAAGGTTATATGAATGAAATATATGTGAACTTCAAACTATACAGGGCTGACCAGGAGATAGTAACAAATGATAAGACACAGTGAACACTAGAAAAGCAAACTTTATAAGGGATCACTCCCTTGTTTCAGAGAGGGGTACCTGGGTAGCAGAAAGCTGGAGCCCAGGTTAGTGTCAAGGAAACTTCACAAATTCAAGGGACCCTCAATGAACACAATAGAAGGGCAACCGATACTAACATTGATCAATCAAATATCGCTACATATATTACTTAGAATGTATGGATCAAGGATCAACAACATCAAGTACAATTTGCCAACTTCTTAGAGCTGCAAAATCATGAGCCCAACCCTGACCCCAAACCTACTGAATTAGAAACTCGGGGCGGGGGGTCAGAAATCTGTTTTAACAAGCTCTCCAGGTAATTCTTATGGATACTAATGTTTGAGAACCACTGATTTAGAAACATGGAGGCCTATATCCCATAAGAAGTAGCTTAAGGAGGACACCTGGGTGGCTCAGTTGGTTAAGCATCTGCCTTCAGCTCAGGTCGTGATCCCAGGGTCCTGGGATTGAGCCCCGCATCGGGCTCCCTGCTCAGTGGGGAGCCTGCTCCCCCCCCCCTCTCTGCCACTCCCCCTGCTTGTGCACGAGCACATGCTCTCTCTCTGACAAATAAATAAATAATCTTAAAAAAAAAAAAAGAAGTAGTTTAAGGAGGTAAATCGGGCTGCCTGTAGGAGGCAGCATTTGGGGGTGGGGAGGTGGAACGGGGTGGCTGTTCTTCAGATAAAAGCTTCTCATCTTATTTGATGTTTTAACTCTGTGCATGAATTACTTTGGAAAATGAGAAATTAGTTTTAAAAATAAATAAACTGGGATTTCTGAAGTACATATGTGCCAAGAGTCTGGCTTTGGCCCTTAAGATGGAAACAGGAAGCTGTTGGTAGAACTCAGGAGCCAAGCAGTTGCTGCTAAGTAAATCCCAACTCCTAAGGGATGGCCCTGACTTCCTGAAGGCTCATCTGCTTCCTCCTCTGTCCCCGTACTGCCGCAGACACCCTCCCCCAGGGACATAGACCAGGAGTGCAGCCCAAAGAAAAGAACTATTTGGCTCCAAGCTGCCCACCTTCCTGTCACTTTCCCACCCATTCAAAAGCAAACTCCTTCCCCCTGCAACCCCACCCACCCACTCGCCCACCACCACCCTTCCTGGTCTTCCTTCCTCTTTCCCCTTCCTCCCCCCTCCCACCCAGTGCAGGAAGAAATGCTGTTTGCTTCCACTGACCGATAGAAGCAGTTGTGAACCGTCTCACTGGTCCCGGATGCCCTTCCCCACCCTCTCCACGCCGGACCAGCTGCACGCAGAGCTCGTATTCTGTGCGAGGTTCCAAATAGCTGAGTGTAACAATCTCACTTGTCACTGCAAAGAGGGAAAGTCCAGGAAACTTAAGTTGGCATTCTTGTACATTGTTTAAAGTGGAATGCTATTATTGTGATGTGAACTGGTGTTTGGTTTTTCAAAAATACAATGTCTAAAGGAAACAGGCAATCCCCCCCCTTCAGGGCCTCAACATTCCTAACACAAGGAAAATGAGGCTTTTTTAAGGAAGTTTCCAGGTTACGATGTACACACTAATGTAAGACTCTCTGAGCCACTTAATCACGTCTGCTCTAGGGCTTTTGTCTTTTCATTTGTAGAGTAAAACCACACAAATCTTCAACTATATGGAGTAACAATTAGATTTAAGGGGGGGTGGGGAATCTCAATTAAAATAATATAATTTAATTGCCACCGTTTTTAAATACATAGTGATTGCAATCAGGCTATCAACAGAAGAGATTCTTTGAGGGTTTGCTTACAAAGACCAGAGAGCAGATTTGTAATCGTCATACCATTTACAAATGGAGGGCTCTGAAGTCATTGAAAATAGATCTCCTAAACAAATAGTATATGCATCTTTTCTCCTTAGCTATTTGCTTTAGCCAGGCTCTGTTCTCCACAGGTATTGCAAAAGTACCGCCTTACCATATGGTAAATTTCCAGTCGGTAAGAAAAAAAAATCGGGCTGTGTTCACGAGTTCTTAGAACACTTTGTGGATGTCCACTTGCAGAAAGTGATGATGGATTATTACCACCGTATGAAAAAAAAAAAGCTGCTTTTTAATAAAACCTAGCCTTTGACATTGTCAACAGCAACTTAGCAAATCAGCCTTATGTCACTAGGATTCTGAATTTTGGCTGAGTCTACAATAGAATGTGAAGAGCTCAGTAACAGTGCCATGACTTAATTCCACATATCCAGGTCAGCTGGGTTAATACTAAACCAAAACCTCCTTTTGTTCTACTTTTTGTAACTTCCTCAATTACCTACATACAGTGCATAGAGGGCCCTTTTTAGGAAATCACGGGCATAGTGAGACTAAAGGATTGGTAGGTAATTAACTCTGAAATGGAATCCTTGGCTACAGCCACTGTTACCCTGGGGCAGAGGAATGAGAGTGGGAGAGAGGATTTCTCTATTTCTATATGTGAGGAATTTTTTTTCTCCTGGTGCCACTTCTTTAGCTGGAGTCTTTCCTGTTCAAACCTTACCTTGAATATGCCGCCAAGCTTCATAATGATTAACAGGTTTGTATAGAAGCTTCTTGGATTTGATTGGTCCATCCCCAAAGTAAGGCTCAGAGCTGATGTTGATGACAGCGAAATTATGTCCAGTGTCGATCACGTTTGGGGCATTCAGGGGCTTTGGAAGAACTAAACAAAATTTTCAACAACCAGATTAGTCTCTAGAGTTTGATTATCGTACTTTGGTGAGGATAGAGGAGGGGTAATCTTACATTTCCAACAAAACCCTCTAGAGGCAAGTGCATAGGGAAACACTGGGTAACAGCAGACAAAACAAAAGACAGGGAACGGAGTCTGACACCTGACAGACTGTTCCTGACAACTGAGTAAACCCTGTGATAGCGCTGTGGTTTCTCAGGGCCATAAGCTTCCCGTTGTTGCTCAAGCCCATGGCGCGCACGCACACAGACCCAGTCAGCCTGCAAATGTCAAAGAATGACTCCTCTACTGGGGGTACTAGAGTACTCCTCGTACATCTTGATCATGGAGTATTTGTAATAGAAAAATTAGACTGCACCTGCGCATAGTAGCTGCCATAGAGCATGCGTAATGATATGCAGAGTTTTTAGAAGTTCTCCGTCTATTCTCAGAACCTTTCATGACTATATCACCCGCTCGTTATGACTACCTATAAACAGCAGAACTCCCGCCCCTACGTCTACCCAGGGCAGCTCAGATCCTGCACTCTGCCCATCCCCTTTCAGTGTGTACTTTGGCTTTGCAATAAAACTTCTTCGGCTATTCTCGGACTCCTTGAATTCTTCCTCATGAGGAAGTCAAGGACGTGGCACTGGCTGGTGGTTGAGGTCTCAGGGCTTGAGAACTCCCCCAGTCTCCCGTATCACTCAGTTCTCTGTTCAGATTCAATGCAGTCGCCTGCGCTGTGATCGCCTGGCTTTGCTCTTGCCCCTCCAACCCATTAGCCACAAAGTACTTCTTAAAATATGATCACTCCTCTGCTCAAGACCTTACCATGGATTCCCATCATGTTTAGAATAAAATCTAAAATTCATACCATGACCTGTCAGGCCTTGCACGATTGAGCCCCTGCCTCCTCTTCCCCTCACCCAATACCCTCCAGTGCCACTGACCTTTCTTTTTATTTTATTGCGTATTTTTTAAAAAAAATTTTAAATTTAAATTCAATAAGCCAACATATAGTACATCGTTACTTCCGGATGTAGTGTTCAATGATTCATCAGTTGCAGTGCTCATCACATCCCGTGCCCTCCTTAATGCCCATCACCCAGCCCCTGAACTTTCAATTTCTCCAACAATGCAACAAGCTCCTTTCTGTTTCAGGTTCTTTGTAAATGTTGTTCTCCTGAAAGCAGTGCACCAGACCTCCCATCTTTCTCTGTTACCTCTTAACTGATCATTCAACAATCAGCTCTGATGTGATTTCTTCACAGAGGCTATACCCCTCAGTTAGGCTTCAAAGAACTTAGTCTTTTCCTCCATTGCAATTTTCATAATTTATTAGTCTTAGAGATTTTGTGTGAATATTTGATATTGGTCTTCCTCTAGACCATGCATGTTCTCTCTATCCTTTCCTTTCTTTCCTTTCCTTCCTTCCTTCCTTTCCTTTCCTTTCCTTTTTTCTTTCTTTCTTTCTTTTTTTGGCTTAGAGCAACACAAATTTATTCATACAGTTCCAGAGGTCAGAAGTCAGACATGGGTCTCACTGGGCTAAGATCAAGGTGTTAGTAGGGCTGTAAGGGAGCTCAAAGGGAGACTCTATTTCCTTGTTCTTTCCAACTTCTAGAAACCACCTGCATTCCTTGGCTTGTGGCCCCTTCCTCCATATTTAAAGTCAACAATGTCATGTATCTTGAACCCTTCTTCCACTGTGATCACTTTCTGACAATAGGTAGGTAAAATTCTCTGCTTTTAAGGACTCATCTGATTAGAGTGGGTCCACCCAGATAATCCAGAATAATCTCCCCATCTCAAAGACCATGTATTCTCAATAGGGTGAAATAACACCCCCATGTAGGTTAAAATTAATTCTTGCAGGATTGAAAAAGCCTCAGATATTACAATGGTTTGTGGCCTTCCAAAGAGCCACAGTATATAAACAGATACACAGTACATTCGTGATATTAACATTTTATGGTGAGGGGAGGAGAATTTGGGAATAAATTTCTAAAGGGGCTCCTTGGTGAGGGGATAATGATCGAAATGTGGTAAAACACTGCAATGGACTCTGAATTCCATTAGGTAAAAGACCATGTAGGTTTACAGATGCTGTATAAGTGTTTGTCAGTTGAATTTCTTGTGAGTTCTATAGCTCCATCAGCCCATCCTTCTTAAAAATGCATACCTTTTTTTTTTCTCCCCAAGGATGTATGCTACGTAACATAGAATCTTTCAGATTCTGCCAGTGTTTTTACTTAGGGCAGTTCCTGAGAAGAGTGCACTTCTGTGAGTAAATTCATTTGTTAAGTCATACTTCCCTTGTACGATCAAATAAGACCACCTGTTTGCTTAAACCAGCAAATGCTTATTTTATTGTAGCTATTAATGCCAGGATCTTGTAAAAATGATACTTTCGTAAGCGTGAAACAAACTGCTCCAAAAGTTTCCTCTTAGTAATTTATCATTTTATTTTTTGTCTTTTAGTAATTTGTATTGAGATATACATATTATAAAGTGCAAAAATCTTAAGTGCATTTAGCTCAAGGGACTTTACCTGTGCACACACCCATGTAATCATTACCCGGATTGAGACGGGGAACGTTTCCAGCCCCATGGAAGGCACCTTGTGCCCCTTCCCTGTCAATAGGGAACTATTATCCTGGCTTTTGTCACTATCATTTAGTTTTGTCTGTTCTTTAACTTTGTATAAATGGAATCATAAAGCATGTATTTTCGTTTGCTCTTTATTATGTCTATGATATCCATACTATTGCAGGAATTCTCTTTTATTGCTGTTTAATATTCCACTGTATGATGTTACGAGCTGAACTGTGTTACCCCAAAATTCTTATGTGGAAATCTTAATCCCCTGTACCTCAGAAGGTAACTCTATTTGGAGAGAGGGTCTTTAAGGAGGTAATGAAGTCAAAATGAGGTCATTAGGGTGGTTCCTAATCCAAGGCAACTATTGTCCTTATAAGAAGATTAAATTAGGACACACACACAATGGGAAAACCGTGTGAAAACACGGGGAAAAGACAGCCATTTATGAGCCAAGGAGTGAGGCCTCAGGAGAAATCAACTCTGCTGACACCTTGATCACTTACCTAGCCTCCAGAACGTGAGAAAATAAATTTCTGTTGTTTAAGCCACCTCGTCTGTGGAACTTTGTATGGCAGCCCTAGCAACCCATTAGGTATGAATACACCACAATTTATTTATCCCTTATAATGTGGACGGATAATTGGGCTAATTTCAGTTTGGGGCTATTATGAATAAAACTGCTCTGAACATTGAAGACATCTCTTTGAACATATACACTCATTGCTTTTGAGCTTATACTTAAGAGAATTGCCAGGTCATAGGTCTGTGTATGCTTAACTTTGGCATATATTTTCAGTTTTCCAAAGGGGTTGTACCAATTTGTATTCTGGTAGTAAAAGCCTTGCATCTTTTTTTTTTTAATACTATGATTAAAGATATTGATCAATTTACCTAATGGCAATTTTGATTTTATATCTATCAGTAAATATGACATGAAGAGGTATCAATAACTTAGTATTACAGATGCTTCTATGCGTTGATGTTGTGTGCTGTGTCTTCCACTAAAAAATAAAAATTAGAACCACTGACTCTTCTGAATCTTAGCAACATGGTTTATTTTTGACTTATTTATTTTCCATGGGCAGCAAACATTCCAAGAAGCTTAAAAATAAGGTAATTTGTCTTGTTTGCATATCATTTCCCTCCTTTCAAGAAAATGCAAGATATAAGAAATTGTTTTGATCATGTGAATGTTCTACTGAATAAAACAGATCAGGGCTTTTTCCAGTAATTCCAAAAAATACTAAAGATTCCGTGGCAGTTTATGTGGAGGCTCAGGGTAGAGAATCCCAGTCTACAAGGCTGTATTTAGGTTAATGTTGTTATTGGTCTCTTATAAAAATATTATGTTCTGGGCATTTACCTTACTTCATTTATGGAAATCACCTCTCAGATAGCCCAAAGATTCCTCATCAAGTAACAAAATGGGTAAAATACAAGTCAGCATTTGTTGTCTTGCTTCCTAAACTTTAACACAGGAGACTCAGAAAACGAAATGGTCTAGAAAAGATGGTGCAGTATTTGGAGCCAGGAGACCCAGGTTCGAAACTAAGATTTAGGGCGCCTGGGTGGCTCAGTCGGTTAAGCGACTGCCTTCGGCTCAGGTCATGATCCTGGAGTCCCGGCATTGAGTCCCGCATCGGGCTCCTTGCTCGGCGGGGAGCCTGCTTCTCCCTCTGACCCTCCCCCCTCTCATGTACTCTCTCTCTCTCATTCTCTCTGTCTCAAATAAATAAATAAATAAATAAAATCTTAAAAAAAAAAAAAAAGAAACTAAGATTTACTCCTTAACAGATGTGATACCTTATACAAGTTAACTAAACCCTCTGAACCTGTTTTCTGACTGGTAAAGTGGTGATAACTGTATCTGTTGCATACAATTCTTATAATAATTAAATGAGATGAAGTATGTGAGGTACTTAGCCCAGTGCCTTTCTACAAAATATGTCCGAGAGCCCTTAGCTGCTTTTGTCTAAATGGCCTCATAAGAAACTTCCAAATTTAAAATTCCTTGTGGTATCTATGTGTACCAGCCAAGCTAACTCGGATTTACCTCCACGTTCCTTCTCCCCATCAAGCCACAAATGTATAGCCATCTACTTAGATTAATGTGCATTTTGAAATACTAATTCATAGCAGGAAGAATACTCACAATGCTGAACATGTGAAAAAAAATTATTCATGTTCATTATATAGCATAGCCTGGGCTTCATAATAAGTGAGTAATTCTCAAAGTATTTTCCAACTTATTTTGTACAATAATGAATAGGAAGTCACAACAATGATGAAGTCAAACTTTTCATGTACTATAAACACTACTAGACATGTTGTGCCAGACACAATTCCAGGTGTTTTGCATATTTAACAAATCTTCACAGAAACCCTGAGAGGTAGATGAACTAAACTTCATTGTCAAGTAAGGAAAGGCTCAGAGAGGTTAAACTCATTTGCTCAGGGCTATACACAAGGTTTCTAGCTATTAGGGACAAAAACCAAAGCCAGGGCTATGTGACTCCGAAGGTCATCTACTTAATCCTTCCTTTCCATTTTCATGCATATAAAAAATATTTTAAGGCGTAGTATCCTAGAAAATATCCGAAAAGTCATTTTAGTGTTCAGATAACATTTCTATCTGGGAGCAGCACCCAATGATACATAAGCACAGTGCATTGAGGATGCAAGCTCTTCCTCTAGAAAATGGAGCTTACCTTTAACAGAAATGTTGAAAGGCTTTTCCACCATCCCAGCCACTGTGTTCACACTGCAGACCCAGACACCTGAGTCAGGGGGGAGGATGCGGTGGATGGTGAATGTGGCCACTGACACATGACTCGTAAGGTTGAAGTCTTTTGGCTGGAAGGGTAAAACACAAATAAAAGCTTCTAGGGAGGCATAAACACACGAAAGGTCCATAACACTGACCCCATCTCATTGTTTGATAAGAAGTTTTCTAGGAGAGATTAAGAAGCCAAATGCAACACTAGTATAATCATTGGCTTATTTCCAAAGCTATTGTAGTAGCCCTGAAAGTTTATATTGGATTGATGCCCTCTCAGATCCTGCTGTTGTGTTTGTGTGTTCAGGAGTGTGGGGTAAACACTTACAGGCTAGGAATCTAATTCCTTTAAACTGCTCTGGTAACATTTGTCCCTTCCCTGTTTAATACAGAGATGGCTGGGTGAGAGGACAAAATGGCTTCCCAAAATAATTGAGGAGCTATCGAGTGGAGTATCGTGGGAAAAATCAGGGCTCTGAAGACACATGGACCTCAATTCACATCCCTACTCTGCCACTCTTGACCGATTCCTTACTCAACTTCACCCAGCCAATTTCCACTTCTATAGAAAGGGGACAGGGAATATTAAGCAGCATGAATACAGCACGGTTGACCCTCACTAGATGGTAGCTGTTACTTCCATTAACTCAGGAAAAGGCCAACAAGATTTTAAGAAGCTGTCAGTTGGCTTCACTACCTAAGGAGTTGTTTGAGTGGAATCAGGAATATCTGATGTGTAGAAACCAATAATGGCACATTCTACATATCCCAACCCCGGGAGGCCACTGGCATCTACCCTCTTGTCAGGTTGATTTTCAGTCATCTTTGAGAAGAAAAAAAAAAAAAGATGACCATTTCAAAATGCTTAGATAAGAAAATACGTCAACTTCCTGAGGATCTCTGGTGACACAGAGAATTTTGGGGAACTCCTATCTGTGCTGCATTCAAGACTGTTGGGAGAGAGAAGGGAAGCATATTGAAAAGTTGCTTAGTCCTTTCCAGCAAAGAAAAATTGCTCGGACAACACCCTAATCAGTGCTGAGCACCAGCAACAAGGGCAGAGTGAAGAGGTCAGGGGCCCGAGGAATGTATTCAGATCCAGGGGATTCCATGGTTTATGGTTTCTGAATGGGAAGTGTGAGAGCAGATCTATACAGAATCAACCAAATTAGGCTGAACTCCCCTCTTTTATACTCTGCTAATTTTTGTTCCAAAGAACACAATAGAAGTAGACCAGTCATCAGAGTTCCATTTCCTGATAGCACGTGGTAGGTAACATGAGAATCTCCTGCTGATTCATGGGGCCACACCTTGCCACACCCTTTGGTGGCCACAAGACCACCTCATTCTTCCCGATATGAGACGTTAGAACACGGGGATATACCGTGAGGAGCAGAGCCTGCATAGGCTAATGTATACCTCTCAACACACACAGTTGGAAAGTTCTGCGGGATGAGTGCGATCGGCAGCACTCAGCGTCCTCAATTCCACTGGGGTGGTCTCTTTCCAGCCTTGCCCTGTGATACTGGCCAGGCTGCAGTGACTCTGCTCTACCTCCCCAGGGACACGGCATTTGGTCCAAGGTAACAACACTCTGGCTTCGGAGGATGCAAGCCCTGGCATTGGATCCAGCCTGTAGCGAGGGGATTACCCACTGAAAGCATCTAGTGGTGTCAGGAGCCAGATTAAGAATAACTCTTACATGGAGCACTGTCCCATCTGGCTTCACGAGAGTCATTTCTTCATTGGCAGGTAGTGGCCAGCCAGACGCTTTGCAGATGGGGTTAAATTTACCACTGTTTACTTCTATGTGATCCGGCAAATCCTCTATCTTTGGGATCATCCTTGGCGTGCCTGCATGAGAAAAACAGTCCTGTGAAATCTAATCTTTGACACAGCAGCGACAGTAATAAAAGCAGCTACCATTTGGCAAGTCATATCCCAGGTAAGAACCTTGCAAGTATTATATTGTTTTATCATCACATAATAAATTTGTGGGGGAATGCTACTGTGGTCCCCATTTTACAGATGAGGACACTGAAGCTCAGAGTCCAGAATCAAGCTCAGATCTGTATGAATCCAGAATCCTCACTCTGCCTTAATGCCGTGCTCCCCTCAGTGGATCTGGGACGGACAGTCTCTATATTAAAATGACCATCATGGGGTGCCTGGGTGGCTCGGGCGTTAAGCGTCTGCCTTCAGCTCAGGTCATGATCCCAGGATCCTGGGATTGAGCCCCGCATCGGGCTCCCTGCTCCATGGGAACCCTGCTTCTCCCTCTCCCGCTCACCCTGCTTGTGGTTCCTGTTCTCACTGTCTCTCTCTCTCTCTGTCGAATAAATAAATAAAATCTTTAAAAATAATAATAAAATAAAATAAAATAAAATGATCATCATGACCACATCTTCCCTGTCCTTACTTTTCAGCTCCTTTTTACTTTTTAAGAGAATGTTAACAAAAACAAAAGCAAAAACAAAAACTAGGTCCTCTTTGACTCCGCAAACAATCCCATGATATTGCTGACCAACATGATCCTCCATTTTGATATACAAGACATAGCGCATTGAATCTGCAAGTGGCAAGTGATGACAAACATTCACACTTACATGCAGGAGGTGAAGTGGAATAGAACTACTCCCTCAGACTGTTTCTAGGCAACAACCCAATCACAAGTGTTGCCACCAATACTGAAAGACAACGTCTCTGATATCAACAGGGTATCAGGACTCCTTGCCTAATACCTACATTGTAGAGAAGGAATAATCCTGAAATATAACAATTTTATTCTGAACTGTAGGGTCTTAGAGAACCTCAGACCCTTTGTAACTACATGTGAGACACAGTAGAAAACAGTTCAGCACTTAGTGAAGACTGGGGGTATTGGAAATGCCCCCCAAGAGCAGCAGGGACTTACAAGCTGTTGGACACTTGGCGGTGGAGGGAGGGGGTGAAGGTAGGCAGGGCCACGGTAAACACAACATTCATATTTTATACTGATGTCCTATTTCCCGGGCCTAGAACGCAATGGGTAAAGGGTATGGAGCAGGAAGGAAAGAGGTCTAAGAACTATAAGGGTAATTCTTTGACCGGTCTGTAGACTTGAAGGGACTGTGATTAGAATCTACCAGATTTTTCGGCTTAAGAAATTATTCGAGTAGGAACTTTAAAAAGGGCTTTGACACTTTGAAGGCAGTTAAGTCTTTCCTGCACTGTCGCCTTGCATTTCCTGCAGTCCGCTGGAGGTGAAGGTGGGTGCACAGGTGGAGATGGAGAAGAAGCGGGGAAGAGGGGGGCACGGAGCTGCTCTCTGAAAGCCGGGGGCCTGGATCTAGGTCTGAGGTGCTCACCCCTTTTGCAACTTCAGGCTCAGAAAAGAAAAGCAGGCATGAAATTGAAAATTCAAATCCTTCAGCTTGTTAGCTGCCTATTTTCAACCCAATCCTCCAGCAGCCCCAAGGCCTTTCCTTCCCTTCCTAGACCCTCCCAGGTTCCTGCCCTGCGGCCAAAAGTCCGAACACTGGGGGAAGAAAGTGAACACGTGAAACTAAGCCAAAGCCTTTGAGAAAACAATTGTTGGTATTTTCCTCCCATATTTGTTCGATTTTTAAAATGAACAGAGAAAAAGCCGTAAAGGTCTTGGTCTTGCTGCTCTGAGTGTAGATTCCTTTCTGTAACATTTAGATTTGTAGGATTGGAAAAGTAATATATGTTCATTATTTTTACATTTTGAAAATATGTAAAAATGTGTTTCTTTTAATTTTAAAAAGTATATTCTAGGGCAGGAATGAGCAAACTTTTTCTGTAAAGGACTAGACAGTAAATATTTTCAGCTTTGCAGGCTGAAAGTTCTCTGATAACTACTCAACCCTGATGTCATGGGCAAGCAGCCATAGATTATAAATTCTAAACGAATTAGTGTGGCTATGTGCCAATCAAATTAACAACAGACAGTAGGGAAGTAAAAAGGATAAATGCTACAATACAGTTAAACCTCAAAAACTGTGTGGTCAGTGAAAGAAGCCAGCCACAAAAGACCACGTCATTTGTGATCCCATTCACAGTTTATGAAGTGTCAAGAATTAGTCAACCTATAGAGACAAAAAGTAAATTCATGGTTGCCAGGGGTGAGAGGAGAGGAGAATGGGAGTTACGACTAATAGGTACAAGCTTTCTTCTGGTATGGCAGAAACATTCTAAAATTAGATTGCGGTAATGGTTGCACGACACTGTAAATATACTAAAAATCATTCAATTGTACATTTAAAAGGAATGAACTTCATGGTATAAAAATGATATCTTAATAAAGCTGTTAAAAAAAATAGCAGACTGGATTTGGTCTGTGGGTCAGAGTTTGCGGACCCCTGGCTCTATGGTAATTTCTGAACTAGAATTTCTTAAAATTTCGTTTTGAGGCTTCATCTTTTCTCTTTTTGCTTCTTTTTTATATCTTTCTTTTCAAAAATATCCTTTGTCCAAATCCCTCCAAAGTAGTTCTTCCCTGTTGTACGTATCCTGGGAAAAGATGTTCCCAGGGAAGGGAGCAGACAAGGTAGGCAGAGCCCCCGGCTAGCCAGTCGTCACTCTCTGTGCCACAAAGAGCACGTGGTTTATTCCCAGTGGAAGGAGAAATGAAGGCCAGTAGGAGGGCCTGTAGCAAAGAATAAGAATGTTGTCCTTTAGGACTTGGGATATATTCTTCCCAACTTCTGGATGGAAACAGAAGGTGCTTGAGGAATTTGGCCTGCTGGGGCAAGAATTATAACCAGCAAAGCTCAGTTCAGACATGCTAAACGTGGCCCTAACTACAGTGTTACCTTGCTTTACCTTCATTCTCACACTGGAGCCCTTGGCGTTCTGGAGAGCAGAGACATCCTTGGAACCGATCACACAGCTCCCCGTGGGTGCACCTGCAACTAAGCTTACAGTCTGGCCCGTAATAACCCGGCTGGCACGCTGTGAACCAAGACACCAGAACCATTGTTAACAGAGACGAAGGGAGAAAACTAAAGCTGTGGGTGGCTAGGAGCTGAAGTTAGTACTGCCTCTGTGAGGCCCACAGAAGAAAAGATCTTCCTCTATTTTCAAATCCCAAATCCTGTCCGGATTGGACCTCAGAGCTCTGCTATCTACAGCCCACTGAAAAACAAAAACAAAAACAAAAAACAACAAGTCTCTATGGCCTTTCAACTCAAAGTGTGTTCTCAAAACCAGCAGCATGAGCACCATCTGGGAGTTTTGGGAAATGCAGACCTCAGGAGCCAGACCAACACCTATGGAATCAGAGTCTGTGTTTTAATAAGAACCCCAGATGATGTGCTTGAGAAGCACTTTCTATAAGGTCCAGAGGCTTAATTATGAAAGCATCATTAACTTGGGATGAAAACATCTGTGATTCAAAACCCTGTAGCTCAGCCCTGGACAGCTGAGTGAACAGTCCAGGTACCTCCCACGCTATTAACTCTAGCAAGCTAGATCTCCTTGGTATACCTGCTAGAATGTTTTTTGTTCAAGGGTATGATCGGCACATACCTTCATTGCATTGCAGACCCTGCCAACCTGCGGCACAGGAGCACCCATAGGGGTCTGGGAGACAGAACACATAGGACTTGCATCCCTCTGGTCCACTACACCTTTCTTTACATGTTCTGCCAAATGTGTGCAGCTCACAAGCTTGGGGGGGGGGGCAGAAAAAGATGATTCAGCGTCAAATATTCAACCCCTTGAAATGTATGCATCTTCTTTTACAGGTCTCCCCTAGACTAGTGAAGATGGAAAATAATCCAATCTCAGCTGTGGTGTGGACAGCATTACAGTGATTGGCAATAGAGAACCTTTAGGAAAGGGTACCTTTTTCCAATTCACACCGAGGTCCCACAGGGCCTAACATGGGCCATTTAGTTTCTGTTCCCAGTGGTGTACAGAGTTAAAATTCTATATCCAGCAATGATGGCTTTTTATTTTTTTTAATTCTATTTTATTATGTCATGTTAGTCACCATATAGTACATCATTAGTTTTTGACGTAGTGTTCCATGATTCATTGTTTACGTATAACACCCAGTGGTCCATGCAGTACGTGCCCTCCTTAATACCCATCACCGGGCTAAACCATCCCCCCGACCCCCCGCCCCTCTGAAACCCTCAGTTTGTTTCCCAGAGTCCATAGTCTCTCATGGTTTGTCTCCCCCTCCGACTTCCCCCCCTTCATCCTCAACTTACTCATCAAGCATTCTTGACTTACCCTTCTCACAGGTCTTCCCCATAAACCCAGGTGGGCAAATGCATTCTCCTGTATCTTCGTGGCAGACACCATTGTTCTTACACTCAGTGCAGACACGGTTACATTCAGGTCCCCACTTCTGAGCTTCACATCCTTTTAAGGAAAACAAGGCTCTGGTGAGTAGAGCACACTCACTCCCTAAACCTTTACTGAGCACCTACAACATGGCAGTCATTTTAGCGGACACTAGTAAATGAAGAGAAACAAAATACAATTTCATAAAAGCTAACAGTCTTCTGTTGGAAACAGACATGGAAACAGTAATAAGGATAGAAACAAAGACAAGGAGGGGCACCTGGGTGGCTCAGTCAGTTAAGCATCTGCCTTCCACTTGGGTCATGTTTCCAAGGTCCTGGGATCAAGTCCCACATCGGACTCCCTGCTCAGCGGGGAGCCTGCTTTTCCCTCTCCACCTTGCTTGTGCTCTCTGTCGCTATCTCTATCTCTCTCTCTCAAATAAATAAAATCTTAAAAAAAAAAAAAGACAAGGAGTACCTAATCCTGTCTTGGGGATAGAAGAGGGTATAAAGGAAGGCATCCCGGAGGAGGTGGTATGTGAGAGAAGAATCTGCATGACCACATAATCAGCAAAGAAGATAGGCTGCAGAGTGTGTTCCAAGCAAAGGTGAGGCAGGGAAGGAAAGCCTGGCATTTTCCAGAGCTGCAGGTATGATCAGAGCTAGGACGATGGTTTTCCAAGTGTGATCCCTGACCAATAGCTTCTTCATTACCTGGGAATCTGCTAGAGATGCAAATCTCAAATCTCAAATTGCATCTGAATTGGAGGTGGCCTAGCAATCTATGCTTGCCAAGTCCTCCACATAATTGTGATGCATGCCAGAGTGTGAGAACCTCTGGTCTGCAGTCTGTAGAGACAAGATTCAGCTCAGAAGCGAGCAGAAGCTGGTAGCATCCACCTGTTTTCAGGTAAAAAACATACAGGACGTGAAAGAATATACATAAAACTTAAAGTACAAGGAGTGGTAAAAGGGTTCTAGATTCTTATTTCCTAGATACGTCTTTCTAACATTTGGTGATTTTAGATGGTTTTTTGGGTCCAAGGACACCTTCTGATATAAGGAAAAAATGCAAGGGGGTTGGCATGAACTTTTGTGGTCAGGGATTTAATTTCTCATCTGAAAGGAACTAGTGTCTTTGTCCCTGAATGTTAGTCTCACGGTGGTAAGCTTGGACCTGTGCCTACAGCTGATGTAACTTTATAATTTCTTTGGCAAGAATTCCTGGTTATCAGTATTTTCTCTAAAATAATCAGGAAGACTATCTACACAGACCCTTTCTTACAGACTTCCATTTAATAGATAAAGCTATAAAATGTCTAAAAGTTAATATTTACATGCCTTAATATATAAAGGGAAAAATACTTCTGCACAATTAGTGATTTCTTGAGAGCCAGACCACAGGTTATTTGCACGTGTTGAAAACTAATGATGGCAGCCCATGGAGAAGAAAATGGGCTTCCTGTTACATTAAACTAGGTCTCTAGCTCTCTACTTATCTATAGACCTTTCCCAGCTTCTCCCCTCAGCCTGGGAAAGACAATAGAATAAAGCTTGAAGGGAAAACTGGAGTGACCTCCTGGGGATGGAGAAGCTAGGAAAAGAGTTTGTTGATAAGCAGCAAGATGTAATCAGGCTTCTGTGATTTTCATCAAAAGCCCTGAGTTTTTATATTTTAGGAAACCAAATATTCGTGAATACAGAGAGAAATCCTATAAACTCATTGGTTGTTTAAGAAACTTCTTATCCTTGTATTTCATACCAACACAATGCTGGGCACAGAGTTATGTTCAATATATATTTGTTGAATGAACAAACAAATGAATGAATATAATGCAAAGAAAAAGAACAACTATTCATGAGTTAGAGATTCCAAACATTAGAAGAATGACAGAGAAGCCCAAATACTTGGACCTGAGTTGTTTAATATCATGAATACTTGGTATAGCGAGGAAAATCCAAGGCAGCTTTTTCTTTCTATAAATCAGTTTCTTATAAAAACTAATGGTTGATAGTTACTCCCCACTTTGATAGTTGTAAGGGGGGGCAGACTGTTTATTAGTTCTAACTAGTGAATGTTAGATGTTATTTATTTATTTATTTGAGAGAGAGCACGAGGGGTTAGGGAAGAGCGGGGGGTGGGGGGGAAGAATCTTAAGCGGGCTCCATGCTGAGCACAAAGCCCAACGAGGGGCTTGATCTGATGACCCTGAGATCATGACCCGAGCTGAAATCAACAGTTGGGTGCTTAACTGACTGAGCCACCCAAGCACCTCACAGGAGACTTAATGTTTAACTAGATGTTAGACCAATCCAGAAGGCACAACTCATCCCCATGTATCAGATACCTTTAAGAGAGACTGCCCAGCTCACTGTGATGCCCCCTTTTAATGGGAAGGAAGCTGCTACTCAAGTGTGGAGTCCTAGAGAGCACTGTGGTATGCGGTTCCACGGTTGGCTATGGCTCACTGGTCTAAGCCAGGAGACATCTGACATATATTAGGGCAATCTGATTCTTTATCCTGGGAATTCAAATTTAGTAAGTAAAAGAAACATGGCTGAAGCACAGGTAGGGTAAGAGTAGCCTCCTAGAGAGAAAGTCCATCCACCCCCACCCATGCTGAGCCCCAGATCTTCCTTGGGGCCAATCTTTTCTGGAAACTTGTTTGTCAGCTGTTCCACCAATTTTCTAGAGCCCTTAGTATACCTCCAACCAATCCCTGGTTTTTGCTTAAGTAGCCAGAGTCAGTTTCTGTTATTTGCAGCTAAAAATCCTAACAACCAAATCATCACAGATCGTGGCCTCTCAGTCACTTACTCCGGACTATCAGCCTGGTGAAGGCCGAGGTGAAGAGGTTTCCTCCTATGTACCTGGCTGAGTACACTCCAGCATCCTGGGGCTGAGCGTGAGGCAGATGCACTTCTAAAATATCAGGTACTTCGTGCCGGGGCACTGAGTGGATGAAGGAACCTTATAAGGGAGAAGAGTGGAGAACAGTGGGTCACACGCAGGTACTCCTGTTTCCCTATCTGGCCTCTCCACTTCATTAGCTCTCCCTGACTGGATATAGAAAATGTGCTCTAGCATATTGGCTGTAGAAGAATGAAAAGGCTGAGCCAGGCAATGCTCTCCCCGTAATTGAAAAAGTTATGGTGCTAGAGCAGATAGGTCAGTCTACACAATCTACCACCAAAGGTATGAAGATAGAGGTAAGGCTAAAGTGCCTATCTTCTGCAGGAAGAGATGAACAGGCAAGGGCATCCCTGCCACGAATCTATTAACCAGGAGATACCTAGAATCATTAGCCCAATATGGAAGTCCTATCCACCCACAGAACCCGGAATAGTCCCCATCAATATTTCGCTGGCTCAGGCAACTGCCACCAGGTGGTGCCAAACCACAGGTGGAACTGGACAGGTTTGTAAGAGAAACTTGGACTCCCAGACCTACCACCAGCTGGCTTCCCAGGCTCCATCTGGTAATTTCCTTAACCTTGCAATCAAGCAACCCTCATTTCACATGGCTGAATTTGGGACCTCACTTAGCACCTCATCATGGGGATTTATTGTACATTCAACAATTTCATATTATATATTCATAAATATAGAATGTATTCATATATGTATATGAATCTCTACTTCACTCGATTAAGCAACTGACCACATTGCCTAATAGAGCTTCTTTAATAAGATTCTGCTGGCTTGCATCATAACAGCTTTGTTTCCAACATCTGCCGCCAAGACTATACCAGGATAATGACCCAATACGTTTCGTGCGATCTCATGTCTCACACCATGGTGCTGGCAGGAAACGAAACACATACTCACCATTTTTGTAAATCACTGCATCTTCTTCTTTAGTCAACACCTTTTTGAAAGATATGTTCACATTATCTCCCCTGTCCACAGTCATGGTTAAAGTAGCTGGTAGGAAGGAAGCTTTTAAAAGAGAGAAAGAAAACAAATAAGAAAATGAGGTCACACATTTTCTCCAGGAGCAACTGAACTTTGAACTTCAGAAGATGGGGGCTGGCACTTGCCAGAAGTCAGCTGATTTGTAACAGGAAAAATAATGGCAGCTAATGGGTTTTAAGCTTCATTAAGGTTTTGAAAAATGTGATGAAAGGAATAGTCATTCTCTCTGTAAAAAGGTAAATATATATATACACACACTATACATATACACATTTTTTTCCATACAACTAGTTGGGGAGATAAGGACTTTATGTTGATTAATATCTGATATCAAACTAAGACCTGATATTAGCTATAAACTATAGTAAAAATGAATCAAACACCCTTCTCCAATCCCTACCAAGTTTTCTCAAAGTGGAAAAGAATAGAAATGGTTAGACATTTGCCAAATGGCTCTTCCCTTTTGGGTCATGGTCCTTTTGGGTTGTATTGATCCAACTAATTCTAATTGCTTAGGAATGCTACAAGCATTTCTCGAATGGAATCAGCACAATGCTGACTTATTACCAGTGGTGTAAATATTGGAATATTGGACAATAAGGCAAAGATGAGACCCAGTATCTTCCTCTGAATTATATATAAATATACATTTATTATAGAATATAAATATATAATTAAATATATGGACATACACACAAACTGACATAGAAATTGAACTGGGCAGTACTGGGAAGACCCTAGGGAACCTATTATATATTTGGCTTATAAAACCCTTTTGGAAACATCTTTCTTTGTGTCAGTCTTGGAACACAACATTGCCGGAGTCCTTTGGTTTGTTGGACAAGATGTGTGAATAAAATCTTCTAGCATTCTTCCAGCCACAACAGTTCCTGAATTCCCTTAATTTACACCATAATCTACAGAGAGCCACAATTACAAGAATAAGGGAGGATTAACTTTAGGCTTTATTGAGGTGAGCCAATTTTTTAAAATGTCAGCCTTATTGAGATATAATTGACATACAGGTTAAGCCAATTTTTAAAATTTAAGGATCACCACTAAAAGAAGAGAATCAGAATATATAATTTTCCTAAACATGGAGAGTAGGAGAGATATAAAAGGAGAGAAAAAAGCCCAAATAAAAATCACAGCATACAGAAAAGATAGATTCTGCCAAATGTATGTCAAAAGCCAGAGAATCCTAGAACGAATTTTTTTAAAAATACATATATATATATGCGCCCTTTCTCATGACCTACACATTAAACATAGTAACACACGGGCGCCTGGGTGGCTCAGTTGGTTAAGCGACTGCCTTCGGCTCAGGTCATGATCCTGGAGTCCCGGAATCGAGTCCCGCATCGGGCTCCCTGCTCGGCAGGGAGCCTGCTTCTCCCTCTGACCCTCCCCCCTCTCATGTGCTCTCTGTCTCTCTCATTCTCTCTGTCTCAAATAAAAAAAAGAAAAGAAAAAAAATCTTAAACATAGTAACACATAAGACTGAGGGAGAGAAAAATGTATGCCAGACTCACTAACTGAAAGAAGCTTGTATTGCAATATTTATGTCAGAAAAAATAATTTATTCTAAAGCCAAAACAAAATTTTAGGGATAAAGATGGTCTTTACATGATGATATAAAAAATGGAAGATCTAGTAATCGTGAACTTACATATGCATCTAACAACAGCTTCAAAACCCACGAAACAGAAACTGACCAAATGAAAGGAAGAAACTGACAAATCCACAAGCATTGTGGAAACTTTCAGAAATTGATGCATCACAGACCAAAAATACTAAGGACAAATAAAGAAAACCTGAGTAACGCAATTAAAGATCTGTTGGCTATTCATGGATCCCTGTACCCAGTTATAAGAACATGTGTTCAAGCATATTGCCTGCTTTATTAAGCCACAAAGCACATCTCTATAAATAACATAGAATCAATATCTTATAGAACAAGTTCTCCGACCAGAAGCACCTAAATTAGAAATCAGTAGCAAGGCACCCTGTGCCCTAAGGTTTGGATCCCTATGGCATTTCAGCCTAGGAGCAAGCAAGCCTGCTGCAGTCCGCGGGGTGAATCAGCCTGCCTTCCTGGCTCCTCTGTGGCTCTCAGACTCGTGGCTTGAGAGAGGCTGATTAGGTACGTGCGCACCATGGGCTTAGAGGGCTACCCTGGGGGGCAGAAGATGCCTCGAACTACACTCAGAAGGATTCAGCTTTAGGTTCCTCTGCCTGTTCTTCTCTGTGTCTGCACACCCAGGCATGGTGCCCTGCCAGGACAGCCCCATCAATGTGTTTGGGGACATGGGGCGCATCTAGAGAGAGAACGGGACAGATCCAAGGGCAGCGTGAGTGCTGAAAGAAGACAGTCCTGGGCTTGAAGCCAGTCTCCACCACTTACTGGACCTCTCTGAACGAGTTACTTAACCTCTGAACATCTCAGCTTCTTCGTCTCTAATTTAGAAGTAAACGTATTCACTTTGAAAGGTTGTTGGGAATATGAAATGATGGATTCCAAGCCCCTGGGTACTTAGAAGAGGTCAGTATCCTTTCCAAATAACAACAAACGACAACACTGCTGTGCTGACATTTGTAATATGGACAACAGTGGCAGCTTTCTCATGGTTCTAAGACAGATCAAGCATGCAGGGAAGGCACGCCCGACCAGCAGGGAGACCTAATGGGGCTCCCGCTCGCAATGACAAGGGGCTTCCTCGAGCAAAACTAACGCGTTCAGCTCCTGCTCTCTGTGGCATGATCCTGGGCTCTTGTGAGAATCTTTTGTGACCATTTTATACAGTTATTCCTTTCTCTGTGGTGTGTTTTGATTTTCTGCCCCTTTGTATGAAGATCTGACCATGGAACTTCTCACTCAGCTTTGTATCCTGAAAAGGAACTGACATTCCCCACTAGGCTCAACTCCCAACTCCAACGGGGCTTTTCTTTTGCCCCCACTCTGTGGCTCTTTATTTTTTCAGATTTGGTGGCTTTTAAGCTCCCTGTTTTCTTTCTTTCTTTTTTTCTTAAGATTTTATTTATTTATTTGTCAGAGAGAGAGAGAAATCACAACCAGGGGGAGCTGCAGACGGAGAGGGAGACGCAGGCTCCCCGCTGAGCAAGGAGCCCGATGCGGAACTTGATCCCAGTTCCCTGGGATCATGACCTGAGCTGAAGGCAGACGTTTAATAGACTGAGCCACCCAGGCATCCCATAAGCTCCCTTTTTTCTTAGGTGGAAACATGGTCACAGCAGAGTCCACCACTATCCAGTCTGCCACTTCCTGTATTAGGGGCTCTAGGTTGACTGTTCTCTGCTGAGTTTTAATAAAGGGGTCTACAACCTTCACGCTGTATTTTGATGACAAAAGAGCCCCACTTGGACACAGTATGCATAGATTAATGTCATGTGACTTGACTGGATCATGAAAACAATAAGCACCTTTCAAATAGTGCCTACTATCAGGCCCTACTTTTTCTAAGCACTTTATACAGATTTAATTTTCACAATGTTTCTATCAGATAGATACTACAATTATCCTAATTTTACAAACGAGGAAATTAAGATACAGAGAGGTAAAGTAACTTGTCCAAAATCACACAGCAAGTTCATGGGAGGGTCAGGATTTGAGCTAGGTTACTTGGCTGTGGAAGCCTTTCAGAGGTTATATAATGTTAGCACTCAAAAGGCTTTAAAGTCCTAGTACCTCATTTATAAATGAGATTGCTAGGGCCTGAATCTGAAGGTAACTTGTTCAAGGTCATTTGGATGGGCTAATTCATCAACAGAACTTAACTAAGAACATGATTCACTAATTCTTTAAGGGCTGGTGAAGAGAAGAGATGTTAGTAACAGTTATAAACAAAGATATTTCTCATCGATGTAAAATAATTGAGTTAATTTTGGGTGTCTCCTTTAATGACAAAGACTAAGCATAATAATGTAGTTTTATGTCCGTTATTATTGTGTAGTCTCATGAGTGTGCTATCCACCGTCTATCCATGTGGGAGATGCAGTTAAGGGTGACTTAGTCCCTTACTTAGTCCCCTAAGGGTGACTTAGTCCCTTACTGTGAATCCATGTGAAAGTTGAGACACAAACTCAAGAGGCCCACACTTGCCTCAACCACACTAGCTCTCCAGACCCATCTCCCTCCAGGCCCCGTGCCTCAGCTCTCAACCGCAGCCATTCTGAACTATATTCAGTTCTGCCAATGGGCCACGGGATCACTCCCACTCAAGTCACGAACTTCCTTCTCCTCTGCCCCTTCCTCTCCCATATGTCTCACCAAGTCCCGCTCATCCTCAGTCTCCATCTAGATGTCCCTTTCTCCAGGAACCTTACACATCCCCTGGGATCCAGGGTAAGTGCTCCAAGGCTGTTCTCTGAATGCCCTTGCACATCTCCACGCCAGGCCCTGCACAGCGCAGCGCCCCTGCTGGACTGAACCGCCAAGACACAAGTTCACGTCTGTTTTGAAAGGCAGCACAGGGTGTTGGTTAGGGCCTGGCTTCTGGGATCAGCCTGCATGAACCTTTCCAGGTCCAACAAAGGAAACCAGGTGTGTGAATGCACCTAAGTTGCAATAGGTATAAGCCTGATCTATTAAAACCGGTCCTATGTATCATATGACCTCACTGATATGAGGAATTCTTAATCGCAGGAAACAAACTGAGGGTTACTGGAGTGGGGGGTGGGGTGGGAGGGATGGGGTGACTGGGTGATAGACACTGGGGAGGGTATGTGCTCTGGTAAGCGCTGTGAATTGTGCAAGACTGTTGAATCTCAGATCTGTACCTCTGAAACAATGCAATATATGTTAAGAAAAAAAAGAAGAAGAAGAAGAAGAAGAAGGTAGCGGGAGGGGAAGAATGAAGGGGGGGAAATCGGAGGGGTAGACGAACCATGAGAGACGATGGACTCTGAAAAACAAACTGAGGGTTCTAGAGGGGAGGGGGGTGGGAGGATGGGTTAGCCTGGTGATGGATATTGAGGAGGGCACGTTCTGCATGGAGCACTGGGTG